TTTTTTTTGTGAATTATACAGAGGTATCCTGACCTCACAGCAGTGATCCAGACTAGTCACGTGTTGCCACGTATTGGTCTTTAGAACAAGTTTTTTTTATACCACTTACATCAATATTTTACTTATATAAACATCTAAACCAAAATGAAAATAAGAATATAATTAAGATTTATAAACACCTGTAAAATGAAACTTTTTGTTTGGTTAGTTGTCAAAGTAATGAAGAGGATCAATAAGATTTGATACTGATCGGATTCATATTTTATAAAAAAATATTTATTAAATAATACGACAACATTAAAAATAGAAAGTAATATACAGACAGTGTAATATAGTGTAGCAGGAGAATGCATGTGGACAAAATCTACGGTAGATATTATTTCATAGTTTTAAACTACTTATCGTATATACATTCTGTCCACTATGCTATGCAAATCATGGTATTAGTATTGTTATTGTTTTACCGTCCAAGTTTAAATATGCGTATGATAGATTTCATATTTTCATCTTGTGTACATTATGTTTTTGACATCCACTTCCGAAAGAACGTGAAGCTAAATGCTCTATAATTTATTTTAGAAAATATGATTTATTAATAAATAATTTTAAATTCATGTGCAAGACACAAAATTCTCATTATCGATGGGCTATCTGATAGTTCTTTGCGAGTTTCTTGGAATAAGGAACCGATTATCAGGCGAAAATAATGCCCACATGGAGATTCACGAATACGAGATCGATAAATGTTTCATTCTCATCAAATCACACCTATATAGCCATCAATAAGATATCTCAAATTTGTGAGAACACATCCAACCAATAGTCATGGAATTTTTGCAAGGCACGTGACAAGTTCATGGTTTTTTTTTTTTTTTTTGACAAGTTCATGGTTAACACAAATTTTACCATCATTCAAAAAAATTTACATTCGTCTGAGTTTTTTCTTTGCTTGTGGCCTTGTAGCAAATTTGATCAAAGAACTGATATGATCGACACGCTTGGAGTCGAGGCCGAGGACGTTTATCTCAATAATTCGTTTTTAGGTAAAATATGATTACCACTCAAAACCTAGAAGTATATTAAACATATCACTCAATAATCAAGTTTACTTATTATAATGAAACTGAAAGTGGCGTCATTACTAAGAAAGAATATTAACTCGTCAGCATCTGACCTACCAAGTGCACACACCTGTTAGTTCCTTGTCTTTTAAAAATGTGACCCTTTGCTACTTAATTATCTATTTATGGAGTTATCAAGGCTAGGAGAGATGTTTGGGGGATCACATGATTCACGACATACCTATAATAATAATAAACTAGGATAATTTTAGCTAATATATAAACCCTATAGTAATTAGTATTATGTTGGCTAATACTAAATTAGACTAATTTTAGCTAATATATAATTCACCGATGCTCGGTTAATTTATAAAGCATCCATAGTGTATATATTGCCGAAAACTCGTCCTCACTCCTCGCGCGTATAAAGGAGCCACAACCAGAACAGATTAAATTTTTAAAGGTTATAAAAGGTTAAACAACTAAAACTTGAAATGTTAGACCAGTAAAATTTTTTTGGGTGGTTTTCTTAACTCCCATTTTTTTTTTCTCAGATGACTTGTGAGAACGTGCTTAAATTCTGTAAATTAAATATTTTCTACTACTATTTTGTAGAGATAAATGCAATGCAAAAAATCATTTAATTTTGGTGAGACCATTCTCAAAGTAAGGACGGCATCGACTATGTCTCTGACTTTTTAGTTATATAATTATAACAGAATTAAACACGTTTTAAGAGCATAAATTTATTTGCATATGACCTTGTAACTCACTTATATGAGAAAGACAGCAAGGGTGTATATATGAAGTATATATAACTGGATTTTTTTCTTGATTTATATATGTTGATTATATGGTATAGTAGCATTGATTGATTTTAAATTTGGTTATAGATTTGTTAACAACTTTAATAAATTATTAGGCTTGGCGTACACCAAGTAAAAAATCGATACTCCCTCTATTTTAATTTAGTTGTCGTTTTGGGTTTTTGTACACAGATTAAGAAAATATTTAGTTTTGCATATTTTCTAAAAAAAACAACACAATTATCTATATAAATAACCACATTTCAACTAATAGAAAAATAGAATAAAAATAAAATTAATAAATTTTGGATTGAAATTATAAAATGATATTTATTTTGTAACAAAAATTTTACTTTACAACAACTAAACTGAAACGGACAGAATATACGATAGTGATTGGATCAGATTTACATTTTTTTCTCTTATAGCATCTCCTCTATTAAAATAGAGTCATTCTTTTTATCTACTGATACAAGTTGTCATTTAAATTTGGACTCTTTCTAGAATGTTACAAATAATATAAGTCATATAATTGACTGAACCGTATTATTTAAATTAAACCAACATAATTAATGTAAAGAGACGACCTTAATGTAAACTACATTCAAAATATGACAGGTATCTATGTGTATATCGAAAACACATATTTTATCCTACAAATATGTAATGTTCTAAAAGAATATATATACTTAAATTAAACCAGTGGTTTTTTTATGGAATATAGTCTTGAGCTTACTTTTGTTTTTTGAACAAATTATATAGTTTGGTTTTTGGGCTTCGTATTAAGAAAAAACCTCCAAAAACATTGAATAAACTTTTCACCTTAAAATATCAAAAAATCAATTATTATTTTCAAATCCAAAAGATATTTAATATTTTTAACAAAACAAAATTATCTATTATTATTCATTTATTTATATCATGTACTTTAAAACATGTTAATATATTTTTTATTTTAAATAAAAATCACTTTGTTTTGATAAATTTCAAGGATAACTTTTAAATAATTTATTGTTTTATTTTTCTTAAATAATTTACAGATTAAAAAAATCTAAAGCAAAACCAAAAACCAAATCTAAAAACTAAAATCCAAAACCAAAAGCTGAAAACACATGTTATATTTTCTTGCTTTGTTTATTTACAAAATAAACTATTTCTATTTTTTTTTTTTAAAATTTGTTATCATCTTTTCGGTTTTGAATTAGATGTTCGATTATTTGAGATTTGTTTGTTGGTAATATTAGTTAAAACTAACTCAGCAGGTTTAAAAATTAAAAACCCAAACCAAAACTGAAAATAAAAAGTAAATACTTAAAAACTAAAAACCAAAAACCAAAATCTGAAAATAAAAACTGAAACTAAAAACTAATGAAAAACAATCATCACCACAAATTTTGGTGAATTGATTTTATACCAAAATATTATTTAAATTAAGACAAAACTCAATTATATAAAATTTTAATCATAAAAAATTTTCGCGGGTCAAAATCTAGTACGTCTTATAATGGAGTACATTATTCAGCTTATTGTATTGTTTATGTTACAATTTGCGAATCGATACATGGAACTAAGATTTTTTTTTTTGGACAAACTTTAAAAATGTAAATTTGCAACTATAAATCAAGCTTGTGGATGTACACACGTGTATACTACAAGAAGCTTATGTTTATCAGTTTATATAGAAAAGTACATTTGAATCTGTAATATGAATATGACTTTGATAAGCAATTAATTTACATTCAAGTCGTTTTACGTTATACTATTATATAGTTCGATTGCTTTCCTTTTCAGCTTTTTTGTTGTATGTTACCTTACCGAATCCTTTAGAAACATTACATCCCATAAAAGTAAAACAAGAATCATAAAGCTGTTATTATCTCCTTAATGTCCCAACAAAATCTTCTTGCTTTTGTTTGACAACCAGAAAAGTTATTGACATATACAGGATTTATTATTGTAAATAAAATAAAAAGTGTTAATATATAATTAAACAAATATACTTTGAGAAAGCTATGAATCACAGCCTATAAAGCGGCAGAAGGAAAACAAAATACTACACAAATGCTCAAGCCTCAAGCTCTTTTACCATTTAGATCAAATTTTGGTACATTGTTGATTTTAATTAGATTAGAATCTCTAATATAACTCGAGAAAATTTCAATATTGTGACTTCACTTTTATTATTAAATAGTGGTATCAATGTAGACATATAAAATACTGTTTTTTAAAAAAATAAAAATAAAAATAATAAGTTTAGCATATGATTAATTTAAATAAACTATTGAGTTAAAGTTTTTCTATTAGTTTTATGTTATTATAATATTCATCTGACATGAATATCGATAATATGTTATATATAAACTATTTTATATGTTTTTCATAAAACCATACAGTAACTTTACATATATAATGAAAATAGTTAAATATAAATTATCTTATTATTATTTGGTCAGTCTAAACTTAGACCTTCGGTATTTAAATTATAAGCCGTAATAGATGATTGGTTCTATACTCTAGCATTAATTGGAAAACATTCAAAATACGGATCAAACATTATAATGCGTTTTTGAACTAATGCTAATGCATTCTATAACACTAAATTCATTCTTTATGAGGTCGCCTACATCAACCGATAGAGTTTTTTTTAAATAGTTATAACCTTGTACTTTACTGTTAATTTCCTACATGGACCGTTAGATATTCATCTATGTAATTATGTGGGTCAACAAGAGGATAGTATTATAATAACCAAGCTCCGATCTACATATTTAAATGTTTAGTCTTTTGTGTTGGAAGTCATCCACAACCGAGTAAAATAGCAAAAATATATGATAAATCATGATTAAAATATTACACAATCATTGTGATTTATAAAATGATATTTTTGTCAGAATTAATTGCGAAATCAAAATAAGGGCATAAAATCTATGTAATGTATGTATGTTTATGTGTGTGTGGGACGTATCTAATGAAATCTGGACACAATCTGATCCAGCGATGCAGTAGTTACTGATCTTAAAAACAAAACATAAAAAAAAAAAAAGATTTTTCTTCTTTCTAAAAAAGATAAAATAAACATCTTATAAAGAAGAGATCACCATTGGAGATCTCTCCGATTCCTCAGCTCAAACCTTACCAACCAACCCCACATACATACACACAAGTATTGTTGCGTTTTCTCTCTCTAAGAATACTTTCTCTCTCTCTACTTCTTGGTATTATTATTTGTTACCAAGAAATGGGTAGTAGTTTCTTTGGGAGACCAAAAATGGGTGGATCTTCCTCTTCATCACCAACATCTTCTTCTCCGGCAAAGAGAGGGAAGAACAAGAATGGTTCTGACAAGCCTAAGCAGCCACAGAGAGGTCTCGGTGTGGCGCAGTTGGAGAAGATTAGATTACACAGCGAAATTAATTGCAACAGCTTCAATGCTTACCCTACTTATCACCCCTCAACTTTCAGTCCTCAGGTACAAATTTCACATACATATACATATATATGTTTATATAGATCCATCTAAATATAGTCTAACCTTAATCAAAATTAACTCTGGTTTTTTATCATGATCGCTAAATGTTTGAAGTATTTGCTTTTATGTGTGTGTGAGTGTCTTGGAGATTTTTAAGCTAATTAGGTGTAGTTAGGAAGCATATTTGCATCATGATTATTCATCACTAAAACAAAATCTATGTTTTCATAGGTATAAATCGAAATTTTGAATTATATAGTTTTAGATACAGATTCATCATATTCGTTTGTTTCATCTTGTTGAAAAATGTAGGAGGATGTGAGAATTCAAGGAGAATATCCGTCTATACCATATTCATCATCGTCGGCTCATTATGGCATTCATCCAAACATGATGGTAAATATATATGCCACATTGATTGTTGTGTATGTGTGTGTATGTATATTGTATCTAGTAGTATATATCATTTATTTGCCTTTACAAAATTTCGATACACATCAGATCATTGTTCTTAAATGCATATCTTTTTAGATCTATAATTTCAGTTAGATTCTTAATTTCATTTGAATTCATTTTCGTTTCAAATATATAATCTTAACATGCAAAATCTTCGGTTATACTCATACTGATTGCATGTTTTTACAGATTTTTTTTTTATAAAACATATCAAGTTCTAATATTTTTACTATCTTCTAGATGTGATTAAAAATAAAAATAAGATTTATTTAATTAAACTTAATGTAAATAATATCAATAGCAATAATATGTTTTTTGTTAAGTATTTTTCATTATTCTATTTGTACTTCACAGATGAATCCAAGTAATGACCAATACGAGAGAACAGCCATAAGATACATAGATGTTCAGCCTCACATAGCACCAAGGTCCGTACACATTGTTTTAGTTTGATCATATAGTAATTATGGTCTTCATTTTTAAATGATGTTTTTCTCTGTGATAAATAAAGCTCATAATTTTACAACACATGTACAGTTGGAACCCGAGCTACGGTATCTTAGAGAGTCAACATTTTGTGGAACCAAACTTAACCAGACACTTCTTACACGAGGTTGGTACTTTATCTAGATACATATATCTTCTTCTTTTTTAGATACATATATCATGTGTCAAAAGATTAGTGGAGCTTAATTTTGACATGATAATCCCCCATTGATACAGGATGGGAGAAATACATCGGGTAACGGGAACTTCGAAACGAGTGATGCAAGTGAGCCAGATTTGGAGTTAAGATTGTCACTTTGAGTAATCAATGAATTCATATTATTTTAAAAGTGGCCATGGATTTGTTATAAACTCAAAGAAATTAGAAAAAAATAATATATAATTTAGGTCATCATTTGATTTGTGGGTATCGGATTTTGATGCCATCAAGATGTTTACCTTTTCGACAAAGTATGCTTGTAAATCTGCACGATTTTCATATATATCAAAGTAGTCATAAAGTCATCTCCGTATATTGTTAACCCATGCAAACGCAATAGTGGAATTTCCAATAAAAGACAGATTATGAACGAGGTATAAGATTAACATATAGTAGAGACTATATAAAATTAACACTCGATAAATTAATAAACACGTTAAATTAGTAAATTTGTCCGATTCCGAATTTAACCAATTTAAAATACAATACAAATTAATAAGATAATATGCAAATAGTTTCTTAAAAAATATTATGTAAATATATAGTCTGACTAAAATCATAAATTAATAATTTATATATATAAGGTTTATATAAGTATAAATAGAACACTATATCATTTGTTTTATATAATTCATCTCTATTCTTTCTTAAGACTTCAATATATTTTGATAATATTTAGTAAATTTATATCTAAAATTAAATCTAAATGCTATGAAATATATTTCTTGTACACCAAATAGTATAAGAAAACGATATAAAAATCAACTATTTTCTTATTTTACAAAATATATTCTAAAATAAAGAAATATAAAAATAAAAGTTTGTGAAATTGTAAATTTATAAGTTAACAAAAATTCAAAATCCTAATATTTTTAATTTATAGAGTTTTTACTTTATACCTAGACTTGCTAAAGAAACGAGGATGGTACCAGGCTCTTCGCGTTATGAGTCAGTAAACAAAATATAGACAGAAGTAATGTCGGATCATTAAAATGTTATTGATTCTTTTTTTTTGTCTGAATGTTAGTGATTCTTTGTTTATATGATTATATGTTGTAAGAAGAACCAACAATGGTGTGACGTGAAAAAATGATTAAGTTCTTCAGTTTATTCTGGAAAAATAAAAGTAATACAGTAATCTGGACTGATGGTGAATTTGATTGGTGTGGCATTGAAAAGAAACAAAAAATGAAACTAGAGTTTTGAATAATACAATTATGATTTCTGAACAAGACCAACAAAAACGTGATCAACAGTCTCATTTACTCATTGTCAAACCTTTTCTCGTACAATATTTGTCTATTTACCATTGATCGAGATTAATTGTGAATATAATATATAAGAATATTCCTATACTATTGAACACCCACCGAAAGTTATGAGTTTGACTGATCACTAGATTTGATTTATATCATTAAAAATTTGAAACATGTTTTAGTGATGTCTTTATATTTTTGATTATGAATTTGATTAATCTTTTTTTTTTTTTTTTGTGAAGCCGAATTTGATTAATCTAAATGAAGAATCTTTGTTTACAATGTTATAGTTCAGATAAATTCGGGCCGAATTTATTATGAACCCAGAATAAAACTCAATGACCCAGCCCACTTAGCCCAATACAATCATATGGACCGATCAACAATGCTTAGTCCCAAGTTTGTCAAGAAGGCCGTATATGGACATGGCACATTGATAATGGTGGCAACCTTCCCCTTTTCTTGGACAAATCTGCAGGTATTGCAATATTATAGTCCCTCCGTTTCAAATATGTCATTCTAGAGTAAAATTTTCGTTTCAAAATAAGTGTCGTTTTACAATTTCAATGCAAAATTTATTGATTTTAAATGTCATTCTATTTTTTCATTGGTTGAAAAGTGGTTAGGTGTATATGTAATTCTGTTTTTATTTTGAAAATATGTAAAATTAATTGTTTTCTTAATTTGTATGCAAAAACATAGAATGACAATTAAATTGAAACGGAGGGAGTAGCATCGAGAGATGTGACGCAGCTTGTTACATAAACTTTCATCTTAAACTCAATAAAATCACGCAATTATTAGAGGAAAGACATTGATTAAAGCTTCACACAATCAATGATCATGGGTAAGATAATTGTATGTATTTGATTGTTTTATTACTAGATTTTGTAGAGTGAAAACAATAAACACAAGTGTTTATTATCCTTCAGTAAAAAATTTATGGGTATTTAAACAACGGGAAAAAGTCAAAAAAAAAAAATCTCCAGATTAGGAAACAAAACGAAAGAACCTTAACTACTACTCCCTACACAGTTGACCAGCTCCGAAATTACGTAAAACACCCTCGCGTTTTCAATCAACCCTATATCCTTATCTCTCTCTCTCTATCTCTCTCCCAATCGACGATCCCAGATTCGATTTTTTCTTTGATCGGTGCTTCCCCATGGAACGAATCATCGGCGGCAAGTACAAGCTCGGACGCAAGATCGGCGGCGGCTCCTTCGGAGAGATCTATTTAGGTCTGTTCGTATGTGTTTGTGTGTGTGTTCGTTTTCTTCCGCTTTGGAATTAACGTCTTTTATTTTGTGTTTGTTGCTTTTCTCCCGCAGCTACACACGTGGATAGTTTCGAGATCGTGGCGGTTAAGATCGTAAGTTTTCACGATTTTTGGATCTGTTTTAGTTTTGATTCTTCTTCTTTGTAGCTTTAATGATTTGTGTTTGTTTTGAGTTTGCAGGAGAATAGTAAGACGAAGCATCCTCAGCTTCTTTATGAAGCTAAGCTTTACAGAGTTCTTGAAGGAGGAAGTATGCTCTCTCATTACTTTGAGAAATTTCATTATTATTATTATTATTATTATTATTACTATGATAATTCTCCAGCGGACAAGTCCCAACCGACTAGTCGCCCGGGATATCCAACTGACTAGTCGCCCGGGACTAGTCGTCGTGATATCCAACCGACTAGTCATCGTGATATCCAACCGACTAGTAGTCGTGGCCTTGGGATATCCAACCGACTAGTCGCCCGGGATATCTAACCGACTAGTCACATAGTCGCCCGGGATATCCAGTGGACTAGTCGCCCGGGGTATCCAACTGACTATTCTCTCGGGATATTCAGTCGACTAGTCTCTCTGGATATCCAACCGACTAGTCTCTCTGGATATCCAACCGACTAGTCGCCCGGGATATCCAACCGACTAGTCTCTCTGGATATCCAACCGACTAGTCGCCCGGGATATCCAACCGACTAGTCGCCCGGGATATCCAACCGACTAGTAGCCCGGTTGGATACCAGTCGTTTGGGGTGCAATGTGAATTAGATATCCATGACGTCTGGCCACACTAATATGTTTAGTGTAGTGGGTTGCTTTGAACCACGTGTCACTAATGTTTGGTATTGTGGTTATGCAGGTGGGATACCGAGGATAAAGTGGTTTGGGGTTGATGGAACTGAGAATGCTTTAGTGATGGATTTGTTAGGACCAAGTCTTGAGGATTTGTTTGTGTATTGTGGGAGGAAGTTTTCGCCGAAGACGGTTTTGTTGTTGGCTGATCAAATGGTAATGGAGGGGGGGGGGGGTCAAGTCTTAGTTCTTGAATCTTGATGAATGTTAGCTTTGACTGATACATTTTATCATCTTCTGTTTACAGCTGACGAGGATAGAGTATGTACACTCGAAAGGATATTTGCATAGAGATATCAAACCTGATAACTTCCTCATGGGACTAGGCAGGAAAGCTAATCAGGTATTGTTTCTGGAGGTTTCTCTTCTCTATTTGAAAATGGGATGGTGTTACTGATAAGTCTCTTTGTTATCAGGTTTATCTAATTGACTTTGGACTTGCTAAAAGATATCGTGATGCCAACACCAACCGTCACATCCCTTACAGGTATTTTTAATTACCTTGTGACCCATATGCAGATGTTAAATTATCTAATTTTGTATTTAATATATACAGGGAGAACAAGAATTTAACAGGGACTGCACGGTATGCAAGTTGCAATACACATCTTGGAATTGGTAAGAAATGCTGCCAGTTTATTTCTTTCTCATCTTGTTTAAGTAAGATCCATCAATGCTTATATATTTTGGCTTCTGTTTCACAGAGCAGAGTCGACGGGATGATCTAGAATCTCTTGGATATGTGCTTCTGTATTTCCTTAGAGGAAGGTGTGTTGGCTTTTCTGGCTTGAAAGAAACTAGCTAACATTGTGTTTTTCGCATGGGATTACTTTGTGTCCTTTTCTCATGAACCTCTTTTTTTTTTTTTTAGTCTTCCGTGGCAGGGTCTTAAGGCTGTTGACAAGAAGCAAAAATATGACAAAATTTGTGAGAAGAAGATATCAACTCCTATTGAGGTATGTCTCCCTCTGTTGTCGGTGGACTTTTCTTTTTCATATTCGACTAAATATCCTTTTCTTGTTTGTTGCAGGTTCTATGCAAAGGTCACCCTGTGGAGTTTGCTTCGTATTTTCATTACTGCCACACTCTGACATTTGATCAGCGCCCTGATTATGGATTCTTGAAGCGTCTTTTTCGTGATTTATTCTCACGGGAAGGTACATGTGGGAAATTGAAAATGATAGGATTCACCAGCATAGTTACATACCTCCATCAACTAATGGTTTTCTTCTTTTTGCAGGATATGAAATGGACTATATATTTGACTGGACTATTATAAAGTATCAACAAGCACAGAAATCTAGAAATCAGTCTCAGGTATAGTATATCAATCTAGTTTTCTCTGAAGTATATGCATTTGTTTTTCTTTGTTCATACAGGAGAAGATTATTTACTGATAAGTTTGCTGCTGTGGCACATTTCTTGTGACTCTCTAACTAACTACGTTATTTGTTCTGCAGGCAGTTCCTGGGCCTAGCAATGCTCGTGCAACGCCAATGGACACAAGCAATCATCGAGGTTACCACTTGTTAATGGCATGTTAACTTTCTTATTTATTTCAAAATCTCTGTTTTATTGATGCTCTGTTTTTTGCAGGAGGACCAAATATTTCTTATGAAGCCGAGGTCTCTGAGCGTGTCAGATCGGGTAAGGCCATTAGTCCAAGCCCACAGATAAATAACAATACTGCTGCAGGGAGGCCACTGGGTTTTGATCAGCCCGTCCACAAGAATGTATGTTCTTCTGCAACTCTCCTCTTGTGCTTGGTTCCCTGACAAGTGCTTTAACCTGTTTTGTACTGTGAATTGCAGGTGAACATGCCATCCACATCACTGTCCCCTGCGGGTACCTCAAAAAGAAATTTAGGAAAGTCAGGTTTCCCTCCGGAAACCTCGAACTCTGGGTATGAGAGTGGGAAAAGAACCGGTGGCTGGACTTCATCATTCATGTCTCCAGATAAATGATAGTCTTTCCCTTTTCTGACATGGTGAGCTATTAATGTCAAAGTCATGCCCTGGAAGATAAAAAAAAAGGTGTTAGTGACACACCAAGTTCTGATTTCTATTGTATATTATCTGAGATGTGTGTGGACAGGCAGCTCCAGAGGATGGTGTTTTTCCATGAACACATTCGATGTTTACACACACAAAGACATGAAGTGTATGTTTGCTTTTCATTCAAGATTTCCCTTCCGACCTTTGTATAATTCTTACATCAGATTTGTTATCTTGTTATATATATGTCATTTTTTTAGCTACTCACTTTGTGTTTTAAGTTTTCATAAGTTGGGCTTTTAGCCTTATTGTACTGCTACTTGATAGTATAATATTCTTTGCAGAAATTCAGAGCCAAGCTTTTGACCTGGGAGCTGTCTTCAAGGGCTTAGGACCGTTTCTCCATTTTTTTGTTGACATAGGTTTCTGAGGAAACATGTTGAGAGACAACATGGGGCTCTCAAACTCAGAGATAATGACTTAGCAGTTGAATCTCATAATGCATACTGGTTTTGGGACCATCGCCCTGTTTTTCTGCGGTATTAGACTGCTTGGTTTGTTGCGGTCTTTAGGAAAAATCATCACCATCCAAGAGATAGGTTGTATCTGCAGCCTCAGTGGAAACAATACCTCAGGCCGTGGGAGGATCTAATTGTGTAACATGGTGTGTTTGTGTTATGTTTCGCTTATGATGTTTTCTGTAATTTAATGTATTGCATTTATAATACTAACTAAAGATCATCTCGAAATCAAATGCTAGAATGAACCCCCAAAAAAAGAGAATTGAAAATCACGAATAATTCGTTACAGCATTATGAAAGCCTTATACCATAATAGAGTGTTTGTTTGTCAAAGCCCTAATGTAGTTTAATTGTTTAGTTTGATTATAATTTTTATTAGTTTCGTTGGGTTTGGTATTGGTTCTTCAGATATAGTTTAGGACCCATTTGGTTATTTACCCCAGATCTGATCGGATTTGGGATCTTGATTTTCGGATCTTCGGATGGTTCTTCGGATCTGGATATTTTGCCCAGTCCTATTCTGAATACATATCATCTCGAAATCAAATGCCAGAATAAACACACAACAAAAAAAAAAAGAGAAATGAAAGCCTTATACCATAATAGAGTGTTTGTTTGTCAAAGCTATAATGTAGGTTAATTGTTTAGTTTTATTATAATTTCGTTGGGTTAATAATATATATACAACAAGATTGCCAGTACATTCATAATCGTCATAACGTTAGACCACATGGATATGATGCAATGACTTCTTTCTTACTATTTTTTTTTTTTAAACTCATGGATATGATGCAATGCCTTCTTTCTTTCATAACAAGAATCTTTGGCCTCTTTTACTTATTTCTTATTATATGATGTGTTCTGGAAAAAATTCCATATATACAAATAAAGTTTGCTCAGTATCATATACACTAGTTAGTAACGTAACAGAAGAACACAATATTAAAAGAACAAACCAAGGGGTAGTTCATATATTGATGTATGCAATGCAATATGTGTATTAAAGATATGATGGAATCATTGACAACAATTTGATGCAATCACAATAATAACTTCTAAACAACATATTTTTTGAAATGGACTTCTAAACAACATAACACCCCAAAAAAAAACAATAACTTTTAAATGAACGTGGTTGCTTCTGTAACCAGGTAAGCTGACATGTTCCATTTATTGAAAACAATGATCATCATTTTCTAAATTGGAGTACCAAAATAAAACTCAGCAATAATTCAAGCCATCAACATGTATCGAGTCAAAACTTTGTTTATACATAAATTCATCGTATTTACACAAATAATCTTCTTTTGATATTAATTAACATGTGTGATAAGTTAATTTTGAAAATGCGATTCTTAGAAAAAAAGACACAAAACTAAACATCAAAGTGTTGGTGGTGTGTTGTGTTAATTTGATTTCTTTTTTCTCTATTAGCAAACCATTGAGCTGTGTTCCTAGCAATCGGCAGCCACAACCGCCTTCTTCTCTCCTCCGTTTCTAACGCAGTTGCTGCGGTTGAACCGCTAAAATGTCCATGAACCGCAATACTGACTCTAGGAACTGCAGTGATCTCAGAGACCGTTCTTCTTCCCGGCTCGACCATAACGCTTCTTGATTTCGAACCAGACTCTCCATTTTCAGACAACAACATAGTTTTCATCGAACTCACCTTGTTCTCCACCATCTCTTCCTTGACTCCCAAGATACCTCTCTTAACTCGATCCATCGATAAAAATCTCTCGCTGGACATCGAATTAATCATCTCCGAGTTCCAAAACATCAAATCCGACGAACTCACGTTGCTCCAACGATTCTTGAACATAACATCAGAGAAAATGATCCTATGATTAAACTTATGCATCAGCTTGTTCTCTTCTTTATCGTTTACGTGTTCATCAAGTAAAGGCTTCTCTTTATGACCTAATTTAAAAATCTTCCGGAAACTATCTCCGATTCTTAATCTCGATGACTCACCAACTTCTTCTTCTTCTTCTCTTTCGATGTAAAGCTCCAAGCTCGAATCTCCTCTTACCTCAGATTGATTCAAGAATCGGAAGCTGTTTCCATAAATAGAGTGTTCTTCTTCAATAGAAACTCTGTCTCTGCACATAGGGCACGTTGCGTGCTCTTCAAGCCACTGATCTATACATCCAATGTGGAAAGCGTGACGACATTTAGGTAACAACCTAAGAATCTCAACACTTTCGAATTTAGACAAGCAGACAGAACAGTCAAGCCCTTGTTTTGAACCTTTCAAAGCAGAGAATCTGAACAGAGGAAGTGACTCGATTACGGTTTTGTCTAAACCGGAGAATCGGTCCGAGGAGTTAGCTGACCGGTTAAGGAATATTCCTTGAATGCTCCGGCGATCTTGCCGTCTTCTGTCGCCGGTTCTTGACCGGAGATCGATGTGGCAGCACTTAGCGTAGATGAGGAGGATGAAAGTTAGTGAGAAGATGATGGCGAGAGCTACTGTGACGACGGCCAAATTTGGCTCGAAGTTGGCGGCGAGGTCATCGTTTGTGAACGGAGGAGGAGGAGACTGAGCAGAGACATAATAGTAACTGCTGGAGAGTGTAAGAACGAAGAAGAAGACTTGAAACATCTTAAGAAGAAGAGGTGTTGGAGTAAGCTTGAAGTTAATCACTTAAGAGAACCTTGCGGAACAAGCTAAGAGAAGTCCTAGTTTTAAGGAGAAGATTTAGATAATGATGAGTTTGTTCTTAGGAGTTATCTACTAACTTATGTCATTATCTGAAACAATTAGGATCTTTGTTAGCTATAAATATACATCTATCGAGTGATGATCATGATGTATGAGTTTGAGGGTTTCAAGGTTTTGAGAGAGTTTTTATCCTTGAGAGAGATTAATAACAAGAGAGTTATTCTTTTACTTCTTTCACATACAAAGAGCTATTCTGTGGTTTCAACACTTGGTATCAGAGCAACAAAGTTGAAACTATGGGAGATCTCGTAGTTGCTGCGACAAAGAAAGAAACAGGATCATCCTCTATCAAGTGTCCTCTATTGAATTCTACAAACTACACGGTGTGGGTGATCAAGATGAAAATCTTGTTAAAGGTACACAAGGTTTGGGAGACTATTGAGGCAGAAGGAGAGGATACTGAGAAGAACAACCTAGCTATGGCGTTACTGATTCAATCAATACCTGAATCTCTTGTCTTGCAAGTTGGGGAATTAGATACTGCAAAGAAGATATGGGAAGCCATTAAGACAAGACATATGGGAGCTGATAGGGTCAAGGAGGCTCGGTTACAAACTCTTATGTCAGAGTTTGATCGCCTGAAGATGAAGGATAAAGAAACTATTGATGAGTTTACAGGAAGAATTTCTGAAATTTCTTCCAAATCTGCTGCACTTGGGGAAGAAATAGAAGAGGCAAAGCTAGTTAAGAAGTTCCTAAAGAGTCTTCCCAGGAACAGATACATACACATCGTAGCCACTTTGGAGCAAGTGTTAGATCTCAATACTACCAGTTTTGAGGACATTATAGGGCGTTTGAAGGCTTATGAAGAACGTATCTCAGAGGAGGAAGAGGTATCAGAGGTTCAAAGTAAGCTAATGTATGCAAATGAAGAACAACATCATGGTGAGTCTAGAGGACGTGGCCGTGGTGGTAGGTTCTTCAACAGAGGCAGAGGCAGAGGTCGCTACAATTATGCTAGGGAGACGAGAGATGCAAGTAAGATCGTGTGCTATCGATGTGACAAGCTAGGACACTATGCCTCTGACTGTCCTGACCGACTGCTAAAGCTTCAAGAGACTCAAGAGACAAAGGAAGACAATACACATGAGGCTGAAGAATTGATGGTAGCAGAAACTGAAGTAGTGATGTTGCATGAAGTGGTGTTCTTGAATGAAGAGAAGATAAACCCCAGTACTCTTGATAGTACTCTGGAGAAAAATAATCTTTGGTACCTAGACAACGGTGCCTCTAATCATATGACTGGAGACCGTTCTTACTTCACTGTGCTCGACGATACAATCACGGGAAAGGTTAAGTTTGGGGATGATTCTCGCATTGACATCAAAGGGAAGGGATCCATAACTTTTGTCTACAAAAACGGTGTTAAGAAAGTAATGTCAGATGTGTACTTTATACCAGCTCTTAAAAGCAACATTATCAGTTTGGGACAAGCAACTGAATCAGGATGCGAAGTTAGGATGAAAGATGATCTTCTGAGCATCTTTGATCGAGATGGAAGACTACTAATCAAAAGTAACAGAGGAAGAAACAGACTGTATAAAGTAGCAATGGAAACAGAGAGCACATCTTGCTTGCAGGTGATGACTTCAAACGAATCAAACAAATGGCATGCAAGACTTGGCCACATTAACTTTGACAACATAAAGCTAATGGTAGAGAAGGAGCTTGTCACAGGAATACCGAGAATCAACGTCACAAAGAACACATGCGTCTCTTGCTTGCTTGGCAAGCAAACAAGGAGACCTTTTCCTGCATCAACAAATTTTCGAGCATCACAAAGACTTGAGCTACTTCATGGAGACCTATGTGGCCCAATCAACCCTTCAACGATTGGCCACAACAGGTATGTCTTCGTTATAATAGACGATCATTCTCGTTACATGTGGACGATGCTACTAAAGGAGAAGAGTGAAACTTTTGATAAATTCAAGAAGTTTAAACGAGCAATAGAGCAAGAAACAGGGAGTTCTATCAAGACGTTTCGTACGGACAGAGGAGGAGAGTTCACATCCCTGGAGTTCAATGAGTTTTGTGCAGAGAATGGGATCCAAAGACATCTAACAGCACCATACTCACCCCAGCAAAATGGAGTTGTTGAGAGACGCAACAGAACAATATTGGAGATGACCAGGAGTATTTTGAAGCATATGAATATTCCAGACTTCATGTGGGGAGAAGCAGTAAGGCATGCCACTTATCTCATAAACCGGTCTGCAACAAGAACTCTAAAGTCGAAGACACCTTATGAAGCCTTTAAAGGTACCAAGCCTAACATCTCACATCTACGAGTGTTCGGTTGTATTGGTTATGCTAGAGTTGAAGCACCACACAGAAAGAAGCTGGACGATCGAGCAAGAGCTTTAGTACATCTTGGAACAGAGCCTGGTACTAAAGCTTATCGATTGTATGATCCAACAAGCAAAAGAGTTACTGTAAGCCGAGACGTAGTATTCATGGAAGAAGAAGGTTGGAGTTGGAGTGATCATAAGGAAGACAATGATACAGGTTCCTTCAGTATTAAGCTTGGGGAGTTTGGGAACAGAGGACTCAGAGAGAGTGAGTCTAACGAGGGATCCAAGAGTAATACTAATACTGAGGAAGCAAGGAGAGACGACAACCATGAGAAGATAAGTGAAACAGAGGTTATTGAGGTATCAGACGGGGAAAGTGATGAAAGTGATGTGCAGGAGCAGACTCAGTTAAGGAGATCAACAAGAGTAAAAACAACACCGGAGTATCTGTCTGACTACATACTCCTAGCCGAAGAAGAGTGTGAAGTACTACTTGCAGACATCAATGAGGAACCTTGGGATTTCTCGGAAGCTAAAGGGATGAAGGTATGGATAGTAGCATGTGAAGATGAGCTGGAGTCGATCAGAAAGAATCATACGTGGACACTTGTAGACTTGCCTGCAGGAGCTAAACCTATAGGACTAAAATGGGTATTTAAAATCAAGAGGAACCCTGATGGAAGTGTAAACAAGTATAAGGCTAGACTGGTGGCAAAGGGATATGTACAAAGACATGGGATAGACTATGATGAAGTCTTTGCCCCTGTGGCAAGAATGGAGACAGTAAGACTTATAATCGCACTTGCAGCTTCCCATAGTTGGGAAATACATCATCTTGATGTCAAGACCGCGTTCCTTCACGGGGAGCTTAAGGAAGAGGTGTATGTAAGACAACCAGAGGGATTTGAGGTAAAGGGAAACGAAGAAAAGGTGTACAAGCTTGCTAAAGCACTCTATGGGCTAAAACAGGCCCCAAGAGCCTGGAACTACAAGCTCAACCAGATACTCAAGGAGCTGAGATTTACAAGATGTACCAAGGAACCTTCGTTGTATCAGAGGATGCAAAATGATCATGTACTCATCGTAGCTGTTTATGTAGACGACTTACTTGTCACAGGGTCTAACCTGACCATGATAAGTGAGTTTAAAAGGGAGATGGCGGCTAAGTTCGAGATGAGTGATCTAGGAAGGCTTACCTATTACTTGGGTATTGAGGTAGTACAACATGAAGAGGGGATCACGCTGAGACAAGAGAGATATGCTTCAAAGATTCTAGCTGAGACAGGGATGAAGGACTGTAATGCTACTCATGTACCAATGGATATGAATCTAAAATTGTCAAAGGCAGTGGAAGAAAAGAGTGTTGACGAGAAGAAGTACAGAAGAAGTATTGGATGCTTGCGGTATTTGATACACACGCGTCCAGACCTTTCTTGTTGTACTGGAGTCTTAAGCAGATACATGCTTGATCCAAAGGAATCTCACGAAGCTGCGTTGAAGCAGGTGCTAAGATATCTACGTGGGACTCTCTCCTATGGTCTTACCTACAAGCATGAGTCTAATACAGAGCTATTGGGGTATAGTGACAGCTCTCTGAACGTGGATATGGACGATGGAAGAAGTGTGACCGGTTACATATTTTACTTGGGAGAAAGTCCTATTACTTGGTGTTCAATGAAGCAAGACAGTGTGGCATTGTCTTCTTGTGAAGCAGAATTCATGGCTGCTACTGAAGCAGCCAAGCAGGCTATATGGCTTCAAGACCTTCTCAGTGAAATAGCTGGTGAAGAAAGCAAGAGAGTCATCATTCGAGTGGACAACAAATCTGCAATATCTCTTACCAAGAATCCTGTCTTTCATGGAAGATCTAAGCACATTCACCGGAGATATCATTTCATCAGAGAGTGTATTGAGAATGGACTGGTAGACGTGGAGTATATTTCTGGAGACAAGCAGAAAGCTGATATGTTGACAAAAAGCCTTGGGAAGCTCAAGTTCAGAGAGATGAGGGAGTTCATCGGAGTAGTGGACGTAGCACAAGTGAACTTCAAGCTTAAGGGAGGCAATGTTGGAGTAAGCTTGAAGTTAATCACTTAAGAGAACCTTGCGGAACAAGCTAAGAGAAGTCCTAGTTTTAAGGAGAAGATTTAGATAATGATGAGTTTGTTCTTAGGAGTTATCTACTAACTTATGTCATTATCTGAAACAATTAGGATCTTTGTTAGCTATAAATATACATCTATCGAGTGATGATCATGATGTATGAGTTTGAGGGTTTCAAGGTTTTGAGAGAGTTTTTATCCTTGAGAGAGATTAATAACAAGAGAGTTATTCTTTTACTTCTTTCACATACAAAGAGCTATTCTGTGGTTTCAACAAGAGGTTCTTGATAAACTTTTATGCTTTTCTTGATTTTCTTGGAGAGTTTTTTTTTCTAGGTTTAAAATAGTTTTATTGTAGAGGCAAATGAGAGAGTGGTCGGTTTTAAATTAATATAAAAATTACGTCATCTGCGTGACAAGAGTTTGTATATGCTATTGCTTTTTTTGTTGAGTTGTTATGATCTGACATCATTTTGATCATTTTAAGGACTATATATTATACGTAACTTGTTTGTCATTTATATTCAAAATTACAACTTGCATTACAAATTTAGTTCTTTAGACTGATATTTTAGTTTCGTTATTGGCCTAAAATATATAAAAAAATGGCTATTACTCCTATCAAAAGCCACCACTAACTTATAAGTTATTATAACCAAGAAAATTTATATTCTTATTAACTATAGATGATAGTTGTTGACAGATTATGTTTCTTGCCATGTAATCTTTTCCTGACCGAAAGTATATAAAGTCAACGACCAGCTACATAAACTTCCGGTAGAGAAAGTCAAAGTTTGCGATTGTTTTGATTGAGAGTGATGCCTTGATGCATTTGTAATCACTCTTACCAATTATTACACAAAACCAATAATCTTTGGTTTAATAAACTGAAAATGGTATTAAAGCCTATTTTCTTATATTAGTGGGTCTAATACCATGTGTTAATCGAAATCACAGATGAATAAATCTAAAATAAACATTTATTTTAACCAACAAAAAAAGGTAGGGAGAAGAGCTTACAAATCTACTAATATCATTACACAAAAGCGTAGAGACAAAATCTTGAGCTGAGTAACCAAGTAAGTAGAGAGATTGTTACAACAAACATAGTGAACTTTGGCGATGAGGTTGATCCCAAAAGAAACTCATTTATTTTAGGTATGAGCCGAGGCAGCCAATATTCCGATAGATGACTCAGGGCTAACATACTCCTCACTTGCATGCCTCACAAACTCCTCGGGCATCATAACGCTTCTTGATTTTGAACTAGACTCTCCATTTTCCTCCAACAACATTGTTCTCTTCGGTTCCATATCTTTCTTGATTCGCAAGCTACCTCTTTGATCCTCGCCTCTCATGACCATGGCCGGCCCTGAGATTTAGGAGACCACAGACGATTTATGAAAAATTTAAACTAAATTTTTTTTTTACAAATTTTGGGAGCTAGAAAAAATTTAGGGTCCTTTGTCAATGTAAATTTTTTCAAATATTTTAGGGAACTTTAGGCGAATGTTTCGGTAGGTTTGTTTAGGGCCGACCTTGCCCATGACTCGACCCTATCGATAAAAATCTCTAGCTGGACATCGAACTCACGTTGCTCCAACGATTCTACAACATCAGACACAATGATCAGATGATTGAACTTATGCATCAGCTTCTTCTCAGCTCTTTATCGTTTCCGTGTCGACCAAGTAAGGGTTGTTCTTTATGACCTAATTTAAGAATTTTCCGGAAACTATCTCCGATGCTAAATCTCGACGACCCACAAACTTCTTCTTCTTCTTTCCAAGCTTGAATCTTCTCGTACCTCAGACTGATTCAAGAACCGAAAGCTGTTTCCATAAACTCTGTCTCTGCAAAGAGGGCACGTTGCGTGCCTCTCAAGCCACTGATCGATGCATCCCACGTGGAAAGCGTGACGACATTTGGGCAACAATCTAAGAATCTCCACACTTTCGAACTTAGACAAGCAAACAGAACAGTCAAGTCCTTGTTTTGATCCTTTCAAATCCGAGAATCTGAACATAGGAAGTGACTCGATTACTGTTCTGTCTAAACCGGAGAATCGGTCCGAGGAGTTAGTTGACCGGCTACCGAAGATTCCTTGTATGATCCGGCGATCTTGACGTATTCTTTCGCCGGTTCTTGACCAGAGATCGATGTGGCAGCACTTGGCGTAGACGAGGAGGATGAAAGTGAGTGAGAATATGATGGCGAGAACTACTGTGACCACGGCCAACTTTGGCTCGAAATTAGCGGCGAGGTTGCCGTGTGTGAACGGATGAGCAGAGACATTGTAGGAACTGTGGAAGATTGTAAGAATGAAGAAGAAGATTTGATACATTGTAAGAAAAAGAAACTTTTATGTGTTTCTTGATTAGGTTTAAAGGTTTTGTTGCAGAGGCAAATGATATTTATGTTAAGAGTCTTTAGAGAGAGAGTGATTAGTATATATTAATTTAAATTATGTTATCTTTTTTTTTTGAAAGAAAAAATTATTAAATTATGTTATCTATGTGACAAGAGTTTGTATTCCATATTGCTTTCTCATTATCTTCTATTATTTCTCTTCTCTATATCTACTAGTAAACAAATTACATTTTTGTTGAGTTGTTATCATCTGACTTCATTTTAATCATGTTGAGGACTATATTCTATAGGGAACTTGTTTATCCTTTAAATTTTAAATTACAACTTGCGTCACATATTTAGTTCTTTAAATTGATTCTGGTCTAGAAAACTATTAACAAAACTATTACCGTACCAAAATATCCCCTATATATTATTTGCGAAGTGATTTTGCCACATGTCCTCTCTACAATCAGTTTCACAAAAAAAATGATGACATGTCTACTAGAATTGATGACATGACATATGATTAAATATGACATGGACAATTGCATTTAATGTTAATATATATTTTTGGAAAACTTTATAAAATATGGTAACAACTCATATATTAGATTTAATGTCGATTTATATTTTTGGAAATATTTTTAAATATGGTAATAACTCATAAATCATCATTAAAATAAATATATTCAAATATGACATTATAAATTTCGAAAATATCTTTTAATTATATATTTAAAATTATACAATTTATTAAAAACTTTTCAAAAATGTATACCTTTTTCAAAATTATTAAAATTTAATCGTAAAATTATTAATTTCTTTTATATTTACAAATTTAATAAATATTGTCTAATTTTAATTTTTGATAATTATAAATTTTTCTACAAATTTATTTAATATATTTAATTAAAATAAATAGATAAAAAATGTATCTAAGATTATAATTTTAAATATATACATGTATATTCTTAAGAGAAAATGGCTAGAATAGACTTAAAAAAAAATTATCACAAATATAGACCTTAACAATTAAAATGACCAAAATAGCCTTTAAATTTTTTATTAAATATACATTTATACCCCTTAGATTAACTAATCCTAGATTTTTTTGTTTAGAGTTGAGGAGTGGGATTTTGGAGATAGGGTTTCGAATTTAAAAAAAAAAACATAAAATTTTGAAAATAAAAAGTGCTATTTTGGTCATTTTAATTTTTGAGGTCTATTTTTGTGATAAAAAACTTAAAAGAGGGCTATTTGAGAGAATTACCCTATTCTTAAATATAATTTAAAAACAAAAATTCTATTATTATTATGTTTAATTAAAAAAATTGTATTAAAATAGTGATAAGAAAAAGAAAAAATATAATATTAATAAAATTTTAATTTTAAACATAATTTGGAAAACTTTACAAAATATGGAACAACTCATATTAGATTTGCTATCGATTTATATTTTTGGAAATATTTTCAAAATATGGTAATAACTCATAAATCATCATTAAAATAATTATATTCAAATATGGCATTATAAAATTCGAAAATATCATTTAATTATATATTTTAAAATTATACAATTTTACTACAAACTTTTCAAAAATGTATACCTTTTTGAAAATTATTAAAATTTAACCGTAAAATTATTAATTTCTTATATATTTACAAATTTAATAAATATTGTCTAATTTTAATTTTTGATAATTATAAAAATTTCTAAAAATTTATTTAATATATTTAATTAAAATAAATAGATAAAAATCTATCTAAGATTAGAATTTTAAATATATACATGAATATTCTTAAATATAATTTAAAATAAACAAAAATATTTTTCTATTATTTTTATTTTTAATTAAACAAAATTTTATATTAAAATAGTGATAAGAAAAAGAAAATTTCTAATATTAATAAAATTTAATTTTAAACATAATTTATATTGTATCTGTTAAAAAAATATTTTAAATTTTTTTACTGCACATGGTGCAGGAGAACACCTAGTTTATATATGAAAAACCATAACTAACTTGTAACCTAGAAAAAAAGTATTCTTATTTATAAATGATTGTTGTTGACAGATTAAGCTCCTTGCCATGTAATCCTTGTAGGGAAGTATACAAAGTCAACGACCAGCTACATAAGATACCGGCAGAGAAGGTCAAAGTTTCCCATTGTCTTGATTGAGGGAGTATTACACAAACCAATCATCTTAGGTTTGTTTCAACGTATAAACTGAATGGTATTAAAGCCCATTTCTTAAATGTGGGTCTAATACCATGCCTTAAACCAATGAATAGAAGCATTTATTTTAAATTTTTTACCAACAAAAAAGTAGAAGAAGAAGAGCTTACAAAACTACTAATATCAAGATACAAAAGCAAAGAGATAAATGTTGAAAACAAGTAACAAAACAAGCAAAGCAGAGAGAGATTACAAGTTTACAACAAACATAGCTAAAAAGCACCGTTAAAACTTTGGCACTGTCTTACAAATCCCTTCTTCCATTAGTTTACAAAGACCAACACATTTCTCCGGCGACCTTTTTCAGGTATGAGCCGATGCAGCTGACATCCCCACGGATGCCTCAGGGCTAACATACTCCTCACTTGCATGCCTTACAAACTCTTCAGGGGACATATGTGAGCCGTGACAAGCACATACAATCTTGATCTGGTTTGCGTTGTACCTGTATGTTACACCAGAGATTGTCCTACCGTGAGGGCCTGTGCCTGTGGTTGAGACCCAAGGCAGGTTAGGACGTGCCCCAGATCCTCCAAACTTGACATCAGCTGCCATTCCTGGTTTTATAGCAGAAAAGTCAAAAGAGAAAGCTGTACTAATGTTGTTGTTGTTGTTGTCTCCTGGTCGTTCTGATGCATCCTCTGATGAGCCTTCCTCAGCAACAGGCTGTTTCCCCTCGCCTTTCGCGGTAGCTTCTTGAGAGGTAAAAAAGATAGTTACTATCTTTGCAAGTAAGACTATTATAAAGGGAAAGGTTTGCTTACCTCTTCCGGTAAATGGGGACTGAGAAAGAGTGACTACCCCGCCTGAACCATCCTTATCCAGCATAGGGAGCTGAACCGGTGAGTATCCGAACATAATTGGGAGATTCCCAGTATTAGCAGTAGTCTGCGTTAGACTAGTAGCTGCTGCTGCAGCATGTTGTCCAGACTCTTTAGATGGTAAAGAGTAAGGTAAACCAGTGAGGACATTCTGTGGAGGATGATGAACAGTGTAAGGCACATTGTAACTCATGTTGCGGTTTGTAGTAAACTCTTCAGGATTGTTCTTCTTTTGACCTGCTATGTTGTCCTTAGCGAGGTTGGAAGAAGAACCACCACCACCACCTGATTCAGATTCCGCTACATCTTCGTTATCAGCAGTTGATCCTTCATCAGTAGCGTTCGAAACATGGGATGCTTTAGTCTTCTTCTCTTGCAGCAAATCAACATTGTCTTTCTTCTTTTCATCATCATCATTCATCTCCGGGAGGAACCCGAACTTTCTTTTGCTGCTTCCAGCTTCTTTGGGCGCCTCATTATCCTCCACCCACAAAGGCTTCGTGGAAGCTTCAGCAGCCTCAGTAGTATTAGGAGCTTTGGAGAGTTCATTGAAGAAAGGTTCAGAACTCTGCGGCTCTGCTGGTGGTCTTTGAGAAGTTGGATGAAGGAAGTTCTTGAAGTCATCAATCACTTTAGCACTTCTATCACCTCCTCCTCCTTCTAGATTGTGATTCTCAGAGGAGGTTCCAGCATTGTTAGTGATGATATTACCCTTAGCTTTCCCTCCACCACATGAGAGACCCAAACTAAGCTCAAGCCCATTATCATCATCCATTTCTTTTAGCCGAACTCTTAAAATAACTCTGAACAGCTCAACAAATCTCTACAGTATTCCCAGCATCATTGCTTGTCATCTGAGAATCATACGCACAAAAAGGAACCGTTTATCCAAAAGCTAGCAATTAAGTTCTAAAAGCAAGTTACAATATAAGAACTGAAGAAATCAAAGTTAGGAACATAGATGACTGCAGAAGTTAAAACTTTCTCTGCTTTTATAAACAGAGACATCTGATCCTGATTATTTATTCCCAAACTAACTCGGATTATTATTACCTTAGGAACGAAACTAATGAAAGAAGAGTCGAGCAGAACCACCTTTCTTGCTTCAAACTAAGTGAGTTTGAGTTCTGTGACAAGACAAAAAAAAAAGTGTCATTTCTACAACTTTTGGTTTTGAAACTTCTCATTCATCACTTTTTAATCTTTTAAAGATCTAAAATAGAAAACGAAACATACCAAAAAAAGGAGTAGCCTTTTCAATCTATTTACGGAGAAAAAAAAACACACACTAAACACTCTGGTAATGATTAAAAACAACAGATCTGTCAGCTAACGATGTTCGGTAATACTAAGCGCAACCTCTTAAAATCAATCCAAAGTTTCAGACTTTCGAGTTCGAAATCATTATAGATTCATACCCAAAACCCTAACAAGTGCCAAATCAAGCGATTTCAATACAATCAAGTATAAAGCTACTGCGCGAAGTAAAAAAAAACAGCTCAAAAATTCGAAATCGAGGCAGAGAGTGAAACCTGAGACGGACGATGACGAGCAAGAAAAAAAAAAACCCTAGCAGCTTCGCGGCGTCGCTCCTTGGTGCTCAGTGTCGGAGATTTAGTACGGATCAATTCATAATTGATTTTTTATTTCTTTTTTGTCCATTTTTGTATTTCTATATTAATTATTATTTTGTTCAGTTCTTTTCTGAGTCGCACCGTATCTTTTGGCCTACAATATGAATGAATGATATGATCCTTCTAATTACAAGTTCTTTTTGGTAAAGATATTTCTGAAAATTTACAATGTTGTTGATAAACAATTTAGTTCAACAAAAGAAGAAACTAAAGAAAAAAACAACTTATTACAATATTCTGGATATAATTTTGTTCTTCCTTTTGTCATTGGATTGTTCTCTTTGAATTTGATAAGCTAATTATTAAGTTTTGGATTTCTTTTGGTTTTGTAACTATAATGTTCAGTAAAAATGTTTAGTTTGTGAATCTCTTTCATCATGAACAAAATTTTTTTTGGCCAGTCTCTATTATTAGTTTAACATTAACTCAACTGAACACCTGAGACTGAGATGTTCTTTGTATAGTGTGATTTTATTTATAACCATTTATTTCTCAAATAATCTATTTTTTTTTTTAAAAAAAAAGCTTAGCATATGTGGGTGGATTCACGGATACGTACAAAAAATTCCACATTCGTACTCAAAAAATAAAAAATAAATAAGAATTGAAGCTCCTATAACAAAATAGAATGATATAATAATAAATATAAACGATTCTTATAAGCATATCATTTACATACTCATATATATAATATGCATATATGTGTCACATAAACGTACATGCATGTACAATGGCACCTCCACTAAATTGTATATAAAACGTGAATGAAAACATGGGCCGAATTTCTGTGAAGTCCAACATCATTTAGGCCCAAAACTAGTCCATTTATTCACATTTTTAGAATTCGTTACTGCCAATTTAATTTGATCCATATCTTATGAAACAAATTGTTTATTGTCTTAGCCTTCCACATATTCGATAACTTACAGAACAAGAAAATATGATTTTTTGTTGGTGCAACTTAGGAAAAATGATGCATGTTGATGTTAGTGATGATGAGCCGCAATGTCCATGTGGATCTTATATGATCTTCATTACTAGTTTGGTTAAGCTTGAAAACTTCATCCTTTCACGTAATATTGTTATAGGCTCGACTAGGATAACTATCCTGTCATGCGACGTTATTTTTGTATATTATTACCGATTTTTTAACTGAAAAATACATCGTTTTCTATTTTTAACTGAAAACTACATCGTTTTCTTACACCATCGTTCAAAATATCTAGTTGGAAGCTTTAGTCAAAAATAAATGAAAGATTTAGTTGGAAGTCAAAATGCTGATAGTAATTTCAAGTTTGTCAGTAATATATATATTTTCTACTACGTGAAAAAAACAAATTAAGTGACATTAATTAGCATCGCATTTTCAAGTAAACATTTGCCGAGTTAGAAAAAGTTTCTTGCTTTGTGTTTAGGTGTTAATGCATACATGTGTGTGTGTATATACATGGGATAAAAGGTTTCTTCTTTATCTCCACTTTGTTTACTCTTTGATCCTCAGCGATTACAAAGGCATCAACTTTCTCTCCACTCTTTTTCTCTTCTTGTTTTTTAAAATTAGTGTTTATGAGCAAAGGTCTCTAAATTCTTTGAGAGTGTAGAGAAGCTTATTCCTGGTCACATCTTGGGAATGATCATAGCATCAAAACCTGATAATGATCGTGTCACGGTTGTCAGCTGCAAAGAAACTTCATATGCTAGGTGGAGAAAGCATAAGGTAATATTCTATTTGTAATGTTTTAGGAATAATCAATTGTTTTTTGTACAATAATATATATTGCTCTCGTGTTTTGGTTTTAGATTATGCCAGGTTTTCTGAAGGATACAAACTGGAAAAAAAATACATGGGTCTGATGAGAGATCAAGGAGGCCATGGTAAATTCACTTTATTTATTGGACCAAATCATGATTTTGTTATGTTGTCTTGAATTGTTTTTTTTTTCTGATCACTCTTTCTTCTGCAGACACTTGTTGGGCTGTTGTAACTGCAGAGTTGATTAGTGCCATAAGATTCATTCTAAAGTATGACACTAAGTACACTGAGTACTCTGCTCAGTATTTGGTGGATTATGCTGACCCGGCAAAGGCGTCGGTGAACTATGCAAAGAAACGGCATTATTGCTATACTTACTCTGTTGCTAAAGGCTTAGATTTTGTACTGGACGGAGGTATACCAACAGAAGCCCATTGGAAATACGAGGGTTGTAGGAAACCGCCAGCTTACCGTCTACCAAAGGATCAAGCTCATGTTCACATTGCTTCTGTTCAGCGATTTCCATCTGTAGATGAGATGTTATACCACTTGCAGTTTCATCCTATTGGAGCATCTTTGGCTCTGTTCTTACCAGATTATTCCACTGTCAGAAAGGTAATGATTAAATATAAATTTCATTACAAGATTAATAACTTATGAAAGATGATAGTGGAGAATTTAATAAACGACTTATTAATATTGTGTGATGTGTGTGTGTGTGTTTTATTTGCTAGGGAATTTACAGAGGGCCTACATCCAACGAATCTGTGTTTAAAGCTCTTCATGCGGTCTCCATATATGGCATTGAAGTGGTAAATGGAGAAACCATTGCACTTGTGAAATCTACTCACGGTGAAGAACTCGGAGATGGTGGTTATTTCAGAGTATCTCTAGATACAATGATAGTTGAGGTGCCATGCAAGGGCAAAACTGCTCATCGCGATTTAGCACAACCATGCCGTTTGCTCTCTCGCTTTTGTTTCCCGAAACTTCCACCTAGACAAGTTTGACTCCACCAGGTACAGAAGTTTTTTAATAAATGTATTGGTATAAGAATATTTGTATTGTCAAGTTAAAACATAAGTTGCATAATACACCATGGAAAGCTCTTATTAGCCTCCGAAGAAAAACTTCATTCAACTGGATTTGTAGGCCAAGCAGTCGATTTCTAAGCAAATGTGTCCAGGAATCCCATCCATGGTCTTTCTTACAACCGCTTGGTACTCCACAGGAGCACCACTCGGATCGCCATTGCCTTTGAATACAATGTAGAAGATCGCATTGTTGGCCTTGAGCTTCATGCAAGGCTCCGACTCTTCCTTAGTTTGTACAATTACCTTCTTGATTTCCAATGGTAAAAATGGCCTCAGGTTGCTCTACGAAACACACAAACTAAAAAGTTATGGCAAGAAAACCACCCACCCCATAAGTGATTTGCATGAGAAGCCACTAGAAGAATTTACCTCATGTGCCATCCACTTATAGTGGAAAGCAAACTCAGCATACATATGAATCCACTCATTTCCTTGCAAGTCAGATTCTTGCAACTGTGAAGCAACAAAACATGGTGAATCAGATATCTCATAAATAAAACCCAATCAACCAGATGAAGTAAAGCTAGCATCTACCTCATAAAACTGCCCATTAGTGCTAATTGCAGCCATCTCATCCTTGGTCAACCACTTGGGCATTTTACCTTTGTAAGAATCATCTACTCCATCCTCCACCCATCTTCTCTCCGGCCCAGAATACGTAGGAGGTCGAGGGCCGCTAGGAACTAATAACCAGATATTCCAGACAACTCACTGAAAACTGGAGAAGTATAATATCTAGAAAAGAGACTGATTTTTTTACTAGTCTAGTTACTACCTTTTAGTCTGGAGATTTCAGTCTGTGCGACAAAGGATACCTGTCCAGGAAGGTAATCTTTGAAAACACACGTCTGAAAATCGCAAAGAGAGTTGCTGGATGTGTCAATGGCCTCCAACGTTATGTGGTAATAGAGGCACCGAGTAAACCTCAGCTCATCGTTGTATTTGTTTATAGCTGCCAATTTGAGGCTTGTTCCCTACAAAGATAATGAATGGAACACGTCAAAAGAAGCAATTAACACCATCCATGTCACTGATAGAAAGCCAGACATTACCTTCTCAAGATTGTAACAGTGAAGTCCAAGTCTACTAAACAAGCCGACGTCATATGGATAGTCATACTTGTCTTCCACAATGTGAGGAACTTGTTCACCACCATACGGAAGATTAAAGTGACCAACATCGAAACCCTGAACCCACATTCAAAGATCAATACTTTAACCTAAATTTGAATCAAAGCCAATCACTTTTAATCCAAATTCAATCAAATCCAAACACTTTTAACCTAATCTGAATCAAAGCCAAACACTTTAACCTAAATTTGATCAAAGCCAAACACTTTTAACCTAAATTCAATCAAAGCCACACACTTTAACCTAATTTGAATCAAAGCCAAACACTTTTAACCTAAATTCAATCAAAGCCAAACACTTTAACCTAAATTTGATCAAAGGTAATCACTTTTAACCTAAATTTGATCAAAGCTAATCACTTTTAACATAAATTCAATCAAAGAAGAATACTTTAACCTAAATTTGATCAAAGCTAATCACTTTTAACATAAATTCAATCAAAGAAGAATACTTTAACCTAAATTTGATCAAAGCTAATCACTTTTAACCTAAATTCAATCAAAGAAGAATACTTTAACCTAAATTTGAATCAAAGCCAAAAACTTTAACCTAATCTGAGAGAAGGAAGGAGAGCTTACGTCGGACTCTAAATATTGACGGTTGTACTCCTTCTCCATCAAAGAGTCAACCTCATCGGCTTCCCATGGATCGTAATCAGCTTTCGGGAAACTCAGTATCGGAGCAGCAGCAGCGCCTGAGCTTCCTGGAGATTCCAGTTTCAGTTTACGCTGCTGCGGCTGTTCATCTCCGATTTTTGGAAGCAAAATCGCAATCTCAGTCATCGTCTCCGATTTCGTCTGAACCCTAATTGCGTTGCAATCGCAATTTTCTTCTGCTCCAAGCGAGGGGTGATTGTTTGATTAAATTATTCACTTTTTTTTTTACATTTTCAGATTTACGTTTACACCCCTGTATTTTACGACTTTCCTAGAAGACCACCCTCTCCTTTTTTTTTAAACACACTTTACTTTATTAATTTTGAAAAGAGTTTACATAGTCATGATGGAGTTCAGAGGTTATAAACTCTGGTACATAGAAATGAAACTTAAAAGAAACATTATCTTGAATTGGAATTTTAACCAATTTATCCGCCACCTTATTCCCATTTCTTCCTATCCATTGGAACTGCATCTGATCAAATTTAGCCTTCCACCATATGATATCTCGTTTCCAATTATAAGCATCAATATGTAGTACATTGCCATTCAAGATATCAATAGCCTTCCTGCAATCTGACTCAACACATAGTTTCTCGTAACCTCGACTCCATGCATGTTGAATTGCCATTAATATAGCTTGTAACTCACTCTCTAGAGCTGTTTTAACCTTATTGCCAACTGCTTGAACTCCCCCAATGTAGCTTCCATAGTGATCACGAATAACCCAGCCAACTTTACTTGGAGTCTCATTGTTTATAAATCCTCCATCAATGTTGTATTTTACCCAACTTTGAGTAGGTCGCTTCCAAACTGAATTTCTGTGATCTGTGGTAGAACCTACACTTCTTTGTAGTTGCTGTGACTCCATGTTCCCGAACTCAAACCATTCCTTTGCATCTGATACACTTTGACGAAGTATTATTCCCCAAGGGAGAACCTTCTGTTGAAAAAGAAGCATATTACGACTCTTCCATAATCTCCATAGGATCCAAATAGGGAGATTTTGAAAATGTACTAATGTCGTTGAAGTACAACATTTAATACATTCCTCAATCTTTTGCTCAAAAAGAAGATAGCTATTATTGATGATGTTGTTTGAAATTCCAGAAGCTCTCCAAATCATCTTGGCATAGGTACATCCAAAAAATAGATGTTCTTCTGTTTCCTCTTCTTGATAACATCTTTTGCAAATAGCGTCATGTGTTATATGTCGTCTTCGAAGATTACTTCCAATTGGAAGGCTTTGTGAAAGCATTCTCCATAAGAAATGTTTCAGTTTAGGAGGTATCTTAGTCTTCCATACTCGCTGTTTGGTTTCAACATTTCCAGGTATCTCCGATATAAGAGCATGATCCGTCTGATGAGAACTAACCCAATAACCTGATTTAACAGTATAAATGCCATCTTCATTATAATGCCACCCCAGGAGGTCTTGTCTCGCCATTGGACTTATTTTAATAGCTAGTATTTTCTCAACATCTTCAGGTACTACAAATTCCCGTAGCTTCCTTTCATCCCAATGGTGACGATCATCAGAAAAGAAAGTATTTACTTTAACATTAGTAGTAGGTGGTATCAATGATCGTGGTGGACCACCCTCTCCTTTTATTAGTTGCAAAAGTTTTATTTTTGGAACTATTATTTTTTATCATCTAATTCCTCTTCCTTTTTCTTTTTTTAAGGGTCTGACTGGTTACAACGCACCGATTGCGGTTGTGGTTGCGGGCGTTTGTGGATGCGAGAGATTTCGGTTTTAAGCGTTAGTAAGAGATTTATACGACTGGTTCAACGGTTAAAAATTGTTGTGTTTGCGCGATATTTATGAATGGTTTATCATCAAATACAACTGTGGTTAAGTAATAAATTAACAATATTTATATTTTATATAATTATCAAAATATTAAAATCATATTTTCATGATAAATATAAAATTTTATTGAAAAAACTGCACTATTAAATTTTTAAAAAGTTAAAAAAAATATTTTTTTGGAAATTTTATAATATAAGTATTTCAGTATTTCAATTATTTTAATTTAAAATTTTAATTGAATATTTTATTTTTATATTTATATAGTTTTTTGGAAAAAAATATTGTTTATCCTCCTGCAATCGCCCGCAACCACAAATGCTAGTTGTAACCAGTTTTTAAATTTTAGAGATTCCGAGCGATTTGAAGAGGTTTATAGCATTTTCTGTGATTGTTGCAAAATACCAACAACCGCTAGCAACCGCAAAATTTGCGTTTGCGGGTGATGGCGGGAGAACCAGTCATCTAATTTAGTAGTTTAAAAACGAAGTTTGCAAATATTGAAACCTAATATATTTAATTATTTATCATCGTAAGTTTACTATTTCTATTGACAAAAAAAATGTCAATGTTGTATTTAAGACTAGGCAAATAAACTGAATCCGAAAATCCGAACCGAACCCGATCCGATAAAAATGAATTTGAGCCGATCTAAACCCGACATAAATATCGAATGGATCTTGTTTTATGGTTTTTTGGGTTATGAGTATTATCCGAACCGAATCTGAAACTAAATAAATATCTTATAGAACCCGAAACATTCAAAATCCTTTAAAAAAACATGTACTAAACATGATCTCAATTCCTAATATGTATCCAAAATACTTTAAAATATTAGTGAACATCAATAAATTTTCTGGTACATGAAGGTTGATAGTTGAATGTGAAGGTTGAAGTTTTTAAATTTAGGTTTTGTTTTTATTTAATAATGTTTCTCATTTCTTAAGAACTTGGTTTTTGTTTTTTTGCTTTCATTTATTTGGTTTTCTTTCTACCAATAATTATTTTTATCTCTCGTTTGATTTTGAATGATCACATCTAATGTTTCTTTCTTGTTTTTGAATCAATTTTACTTATATTTTGGTTATAAAAAGAGTTACAAATCATGTATTTTATATTCGAAAACCGATTTTACTTATATTTGGTTACAAAGTAAGTACAAATCATATATAGTAGAACCTCTATAAATTAATACTCAATAAATTAATATACACTATAAATATCTCTATAAAAAAAATATAATTTTATAGCCTCAAATTGAGTTTTTGCTTCGATTAGTATATCGATAAATTAATATCTCTCTAAATTAATAAAAAATAAAAATTTGATACAGTCCCAACATTATTAATTTATAGAGGTTTCACTGTACTTTAAACTGAAGAACCGACTGGGACCCGATCCCGAAAGTACAACGGGTTATACAGGTTCTTTCAAGATTTACGAACCTCGACCCGAATCCGATAGAACCCGAACTTTCAAATAATCCAAATGGAACTTATTTTGATAAACCCAAAATCCAAAACCCTATTGGAAAAAACCGAAATCAGATTTGGAAACCGAATGCCCAGACCTAGTTGTATTGCTAGAAATACTTGCCTGAACGAAAATACATATTGGTCAAAAGTTCATTCAAACAGTAAATCTAATCATAAAAGTATGTCTCAAACTTAGGGTCTGGTGTAACCGCATCGTGATACGAGTGGTTTTAAATGATTTGTATGATTGGTATAGTGGTTAGAAAATTAATATGTTTGCGAGATACTTATGATTAATTGACTACCAAATACAATAGTGGTTAAATAATAAATTAATAATCAATATATTTTATATAACTATAAAATATTAAAATCATATTATTATACTGAAAATTTAACCTATATTCATAAAATTATACTATACATTTTAAAAGTTATAGAAGGTTTTATAGTTTTATAATATAAATTAAAATATAATATATCAATTTTAGTATTTTTGTTCTCTCAATTAAAATTTTTTAATTGTTCTATATATATATTTTTTATTTTTCCATAACCTCTCACAACCACGAACGTCGATGTAGCTAGTTTAGAGTTCATTGAAATGAATTATAGTGTTTTCTATGATTGTTACCAAACGTCGATAACAACTAATAACCGCAAACAGTGTTTGTGAATGGTAGCGAAAAAACCAATCACCCACTTAATATCTGATATCTGTCGATATTTGTTATCTGATCTGAACCTCGTTTCAAAAATGTATATATGAGTGTTCTGCTCCAGATAGTGAAATTTTTAGGTCTGGATATAGTGTGGACCTATTATATATTTGAAAATTTATAAAATATAATTAGATTTATATACGCATATTATATATAAATTTTAAATAAAATACCTAAAATTTTAGTTTTATTAAAAGAGGGTATATAATTAAAATTCTAAGGTGGCTTATATTAAATAATGAATTTAATAATATTCATATATATGAATTTAAAAATAAAGTGTTATTTGATTAACAATTTTAAAATTTAATGTTATTGAATATATTTTAATTTATGAGTTGAAATTTTCAAGTAATTTTACAGTTTTATTGAGTTTTCTTAATTCAAATCTTGTAGTTTTAGATGTAATTCCAAAATTATATTTAATGTGAAGGTTAATAATATTATATGACTTCCTTTCATTTGACTGATCTCTATGAATTTGACAATCTATATTATCACTACTGCTAATTAATCAGATTTGATAAACTAAAAGACAATAAACACATCAAATCTCATTAGCCTCTGAATAAATAAAAAATTCATTCAACTGGATTTGTAGGCCAAGCAGTCGACTTCTAAGCAAATGTGTCCAGGAATCCCATCCATGGTCTTCCTTACAACCGCTTGGTACTCCACAGGAGCACCACTCGGATCGCCATTGCCTTTGAAGACAATGTAGAAGATCGCATTGTTGGCATTGAGCTTCATGCATGGCTCCGACTCTTCTTTAGTTTGTACAATTACCTTCTTGATTTCCAATGGTAAAAATGGCCTCAGGTTACTCTACAAACACACACAGACTCAAAATTATGGCAAGAAAACACCAATCAGTGAAAAAGCCACTCGATTAAAGAAGAACTTACCTCATGTGCCATCCACTTATAGTGGAAAGCAAACTCAGCATACATATGAAGCCACTCATTTCCTTGCAAATCTGATTCTTGCAACTATGAAGCCATGAGTGAATTAGATATCTCATAAATCAACACACAATCAACCAGATGAAGTAAAGTTAGCATACCTCATAAAACTGCCCATTATTGCTGATTGCAGCCATCTCATCCTTGGTCAACCACTTGGGCATTTTACCTTTGTAATAATCATCTACTCCATCCTCCACCCATCTTCTCTCAGGCCCAGTAAAAGTAGGAGGTCGAGGGCCACTAGGAACTAATAACCAGATATTCTAGTCAATATATAGAAAAAACTGGAGATAGAAAATATTAGAATCTTTGACTAGTCTAGTTATTTACCTTTTAGTCTGGAAATTTCGGTCTGTGCAACAAAGGATGCCTGGCCCGGAAGGTAATCTTTGAAAACACATGTCTGAAAATCGCAAAGAGAGTTGCTGGATGATGTGTCAATGGCCTCCAACGTTATGTGGTAACAGAGACACCGACCGAACCTCAGCTTATCGTTGTATTTGTTTATAGCATCCAGTTTGAGGTTTGTTCCCTACAAAAGATAAAGAAGCAATCAACACCATCCATGGCACTGGACAGAAAGCTATTATAGTTTACCTTCTCAAGATTGTAACAGTGAAGTCCAAGTCTACTAAACAGACCGACGTCGTATGGATAATCATACTTGTCTTCCACAATGTGAGGGACTTGTTCACCACCATACGGAAGATAAAAGTGACCAACATCGAAACCCTAAACCCACATTAAAAAAAATCAATACTTTAAGATAATCATCGTAAGGGCATGCTTTCATTTGATCAAAAACAAACACTTTAACCTAAATTTGATCAAAGCCAAACACTTTAACCTAAATTCGATCAAAGCCAAACACTTTTAACCTAAATTCAATCAAAGCCACACACTTTAACCTAATTTGAATCAAAACCAAACAATTTAACCTAAATTTGAATCAAAACCAAACAATTTAACCTAAATTTGATCAAAGCCAATCACTATTAACCTAAATGCAGCTAAAGCCAAACACTTTAACCTAAATTCAAACACTTTCAACATAAAACAAAATGCTAATCTCAGAGAGAAGGAAGGAGAGATTACGTCAGACTCTACAAACTGACGGTGGTACTCCTTCTCCATCACAGAGTCGATCTCATCTTCATCCCATGGATTGTAATCAGCCTTCGGAAAACTCTGTATCGGAGCAGCAGCGCCTGAGCTTCCGGGAGACTCCAATTCTCGTTCATCTCCGATGTTTGGAAGCAAAATCGCGATCTCAGTCATCGTCTCCATTTGATTTCGTCTAAACCCTGATCGCAATCGCAATTCTCGTTCTGCTCCGACGAGCTATAGATTTTTTTTAAAAAGGAAGGCTTTACGAGAGATTGATTGATTAATTATATTTGCGTTTACACCCCTGTAGTTTCTGATTTTCATAGATGACCCCTGCTTCTTTTATTATTAAACAAAGGTTTTACTTTTTGGAAATAAAAATTAACATCGTTAAATTATTATGAAAAAAAATCCCTAGACCTAAATTTTTTTTTGTCATAAATATATACCTTAAAACAAAAATCACCAAAATAAACTTAAATATTTTATCAAAAATAATAAATATATACTTATACCCACTGGTTTAACTAATCCTAATTTTTTGTTTAAATTTGGAAAGCGAAGTTTTGAGGATCGGATTTCAAATTTTAAAAAATTAAAAAAATTTAAAATTTTCAAAATAGAAAATATTATTTTGATCATTTTAGTTTTTAAAATCTATTTTTCGATAAAATTTAAAAAGATCTATTTATTAGAATTGCCCAATTATTATCTCAACACTATCTCATACTATTAGAGTACAACTTAGTTCATGCCTTTTTTTTTACTTCATATTTTCTTTACATCATTGTAAGCAGATGTGAATATTATTTAGATCTACACCTTGTTAACCGATTTATTATTATATTATTTTTTTCTATTTCAAAATGTTTTATATTTTAACATTTTCATACATGTTAAAAAATATTAAATTTAAGTTACTAATACATTATTTGCTATAATTAATTATTTTCTATAACTTTAAAACAATAGAATTTTAAAAAATATAATTATTCTTTTTAAGTTTACAATTTATCATTAATAAATACATTGAAACTGTAAAATTTATATCTTTTTGAAATAATTTTTTTTCCTAAAACATGGATCTATATAAAATAGAGGGAGTAGTATTTGTGATGGTGAGAAGGTCTTTGTTCCTCTCTCGACAATTTCTTCTGATGAAAGAGTCTTCTCCAATTATGGAGATGTTGCATTTATGGTTCTTTTTGGGTGTATTTCAATTTGTTGATTTCACTCAAACTGAACTTGTTATCTCCGTGAAGGCCAGTTGGATCCTTTGCGATGTCCAGTTTCGATCCCAACAAGTTACATGGTGTTATGAACAACGAATCTGGGATCCAGGCATATTATATTCATGGAGAATTAACGTATCAGTGCAAGAGGAGTCACCATGGTGTGTTACAGGCAGGGATATTGAAGATGATGGACTATCACAGGTTTGGTTTCTGTTTGAAAAATCAATATATTGGGTTTTTGGAAATCAAATTTGTGGATTGGTTATGGTGATGCAACCGCAAAGGAAACCATTGAAATTACGAAGGAAAATACAATGGTTTCAATCTGAAGATGTATTCCTTTTGTTGTATGGCGATGTTCGTATAATCGTTGAAAATTGGCAATCTCAATTTATATTTTGTTCAAAAGAATCAATATATTGGATTCTTTATCGAACAATATGGTTAGATCCAAATTGGGTGTTGGCCAATGTTATACAACAAAAGGAATTGGTGTTTACCATGTTTATGTTACGATATCAAGTTTGGAATTTCATCTCATGGATGATAGCTAAGGGTGGAAATCGTATTAGATCAAATGTGAATGTGCAGAAGACAACCGACAATCTTAATACTTTGTATGAAGATAGGAAAACAAAAGAAGCTTCTTGGGCAAAAACGTCTTCAAGTGTTACTTCCTATAAGTTGTTTTTGCATATTCTTTATGTAACTCTATGTATGTCTTATTATAGTTAGTACTTTTTATGTAATGTTTACATTTTATAAATTAATAAATTTCCGTTGTTAAAAAAAAAAAAAAGAGGGAGTAGTATTTTATGTAAGAAAATATCTGAGGATAACTGATAAAAACGTCTTGTATTAGTCATTGTAAATGCAGCCCATGCCATTATATTTAGATGAACACCAGTCAAAAGTTCTTTTTTTTTTTTTTTTGTTGAAATTTTAAATTGATTATCAACAAAGAAAAAAATTACAGGCCCCCAAGGTTTATGCTTTCAAAAAGTGAACACAAATTGCAAAAGGGAAAAATAAATCTAAATATTTTGCAGGGCAGGCCTTGAGAGCCACTGTTGCATCATGTCACTATAGAAGGCTGGCTTCCTGTAACAAAGGGAGGACGTTCTCTTCCGAATGATCCTATCAATGAATCGAACTAGTTGAGATGCACTGAGAGGATCCCCCTGGTGGCGTCTGCTATTCCTCTCCCGCCATATGGAATGAATTGTAGCTTGTAGAGCAAGCTTTAGAAGGCATGTGTCAATCTCCTTCCTGCGCGGAGAGAGGAGCGAAGCAATGGTGATAGACCAGTCGGGGTTGACACGAGAGCCCAGTAGGAACCCCGTTAGATTCAGCCACACCGTAAAAGAGTAGGGACAAGCGAAGAAAAGGTGATCCCGAGTCTCGTCCGGTTCGCCACAAAGGGTACATGGCTGGACACATCCCCAAGCCCTACTTCTTGCTCCTGTCGCCAATCTATCCTGAAAAGCCAGCCATGTTATAAAGGAGAACCGAGGTATGGCCTGTTGGAACCAAACAACTCTGCTCCAATTAAGTCTTGGGTGATGAGTTCGAATTTGTTCCCATGTTTCATTGCTTGAAAACCTTGTCTTATAGTCATCTTTCCCATGTCGCCATAGGTGACGATCATCATCTGCGTCTTCCACCGGAGCTGGAGCAGAGTCAAAAGTTCTTTCAGACACTGATCAAATCATATAGATCCCAAATTCCCATCAGAATCATGCTTTTGACTTTTCATGAAATTATATTTAGATGTACACCATTAATTGGTTTCAGTTCCCACTCTCAAGTCTTGGTATCAAACATTTTTTTTTTAAACATGGTATCAAACAATATTACTGCAACATAGCCTGCTATCAAATCATTAGTCCATATTTAGCTCAATATTTTCGGAAAGGTTAGAGATCTATCTACTCTACTAAAATAGAGTTTTTCTTTTTATCTATTGATACAAGTTATCATTTAAATTTGGATTTCTTTTAGAGTGTTACAAATAATACAAGGCATATAATTGATTGAAGCGCATTACTTAAATTAAACTGGAGGTTATTTATGGGATAGAGTTTTTGGATTACTTTTATTTTAGAACAAATTATATAGTTTGGTTTTTAGGCTTAATATTAAAAAAAATATTGAATAAACTTTCCACCTTAATGGATCAAAAAATCAATTAATATTTTCAAGCCCAAAGATATTTATAGTTTTAAGAAAACAAAATTATCTATTATTAATCACTTATTTAAATTATGTACTTCAAAACATGTTAATCTATTTTTTATTTTAAATAACAATCACTCTGTCTTGATAAATTTCAATGGTAACTTTGTAAATAGTTTATTTAAAATTTTCTTAAATAGTTTACTGATTTAAAAAAAATAAATGTAAAGCAAAACTAAAAACCAAATCTAAAAATTAAAATCCAAAACCAAAAGCTGAAACGCATGTTATATTTTTGCTTTTGTCTATTTACAAAATAAACTATTGCAATTTTTTTTTTAAAAAAAATTGTCATATTTTCAGTTTTAAATTAGATGTTCGATTATTTAAGATTTGTTTGTTGGTAATATCAGTTTAAACTAACTCAGTGGATCTAAAAACTAAAAACCCAAACCAAAAGCAAAAATCAAAAATAGAAACTTAAAAAATAAAAACTAAAAACCAAAATCTAAAAAAAACTCTAAAAATAAAAACTGAAACTAAAACTAATGCAAAACAATCATCACCACTAATTTTAGATTACTAATTTTATACCAAAACATACTTTAAATAAAGACAAACCCAATTATATAAACTTTTAATCATAAAATTTGTTTGCACTCTAGAAATACGGATCAAAATCTAGCTAAATATTTTAATATCAGTCATAACCCATATTTAGCTCAATAGTCGTAATTCCCATTTGAACAAAAAAAGTCGTAATTCCCAAACCAAAATAAAATCAGTTAGGATAACTAGAGTACCATAATAGAGAAAAATATATCACTTCAGGGCAGTTTTAAGTTTTTATTTACATTCTAGAGCAGTTAATGCTCCTTAGACACTTTATTATAACTTACTCTCTTCTTTTTTTAACTAAACTAACTATATGGACTTAACTAATATTATGTTGTTAAAGGTCACTAAGTCAGATTGTTTTTTGCTGCCGCAACACTTCATTCTCAGCTACATTTCTACTTTTTTGCCAAGATCCTTCCTTTTCCACTGCAATTCGTCTATGTCATCGTCGTGACCTAGACTCTCACCGTCGCCGTCGTAACGTCTCCTCTTCTCCTCACCACAAAGTGAAAGATCGAGCTTGGGATCACATCCGGTCCTCAAGTTAACTTTATTTTAGTTTTTACATGCTCTGAAACTGAAAATATAAGTCTGAGAGCAACAATGGCTAATTTAGACATTTTTGCATATTTGGTCCCTAAACTTATTTGTTATTATTTTGTAACCCCAATACTTTTTAAATATGCAAATTGATTCTTAATTTAGTCACAAACTTTAAAAATTTCATTTTAATCATTTGTAGTACAAATACATCTATCAAATACACTTTAGAAATCACATTTTAACCTTTTGTAGTACTAATACGTTTTAACCTTCCTTAATGTACACCAAAAAATATCCACTTGTACAAACCAACACCACGTACACGCGCAAATCTAGATAATATCCGTCCACGCCCTTTTTACGTGTACACATATGATCATCGTCAAAGCGTGCACCAAGAACCGCCCAATCCCCACGAACTCCGATACAAACTCAGGATTTTACTCACCAACCTACTCATGCTACCCCACTTACATGAGAAACCGGGCCATTATTTGAGATTAACGATGAAGAATTTGACATAACCCTGCTCTATGATGACCTTTCTTATGAGATTGATGATGTGTACACATGTACATATTAATTTTTTACATCCGGTTTAATTCAGTTCTACATTGTAGTTTTTGCACATTCATTATAATCCACGAAACAAGCCTTAACATGTACATATTTGAATAATGTAGAACCATAAATTCACTTATCACATTTTCACCACACGTTATAAATTTTTTTTCTTGATTGAAACTTAGAAGTACACATGTACACTCCTAAAACGTATCCACATATATGTAGATTGGTACAAATGGACATGTTATTTCGTGTACACTGTGAAACGTGTACACGTGTACGTCGAAAGTGAACCAATATATGTAAGGAAGTTGTACACATATATGTAGATTGGTGCATTTGTGAATTTGGATTTATCTTCGAATGTATGTTGAATAACACAAAACTCATTTCACATGTACATTCTTGATTCTTAGCATTTTACATGATTTTGTATTTTATTCATATCTAATAATTTTTAGCTTTGATTTTAGTTCAATTAGTTTATTTTCCAATGTATTTAATAATTAAACACATGATTTTAAGATTTGAATGAGAATACACAGTTTTATGAACATTGCCTTAGTAATATACAATGTAGACATGTAGAAGATGTACACATGTTTTGTTTGTACACATGTACATATATAATTCATGTAAACCACATTATCTTATCCTTATATCTACAAAGAATAATCTATAACTTTTAACATGTACGTGCATACACTAACATTATGTACACATTTACGTTGTTATCCAATGTACACATGCACACATATAATCTACACATACTCTTTTTTTTTTTAATTTTTTCACTAATAGCTAAATAAAATGGCAGGGACCAAATGTTATAAAATTGAAATATTTTCTTGCTCTGGATTGCACAATTAAAAATTTCAGGTCAAATTTATGAACAAATTTGAAAAAATTAGAAACTTGAGATAAATTGAAAAATAAACAAGAGTTAGAGGACCTGATGTGAAATTAATCTAAAGTTCACCGTTGTTGTTACAGAGAAGCTTTCTCCTCCATCTGCGACCAAACCTGGTGATGCTCTCTTCAATCAGCGACTACGATGAGGATAAGGAAGAGACGAGTTGACTTTAACACAGCTTGAAGATAAATCGAGACGACGAAGGTGGATCTGTATTCGGAGATCGCGGCGGTTGCTTGAAATTTATTGCACTGATAAATCCCGACGGTGGAAGCAGAGTCCCAATATTATCATGACGATCGAGCTTTTCGATAGCTTCCGACAAAGCGTATTCTCATCACTATTGTTTTTATTATATGGTGGCATCCTTGCTTTCACGGTTACAAAAAAAAAGGAAGAATATAGAATATTAGTTGGGTCCACTTAGTTAATTTAGTTAGAAAAAAAGAGAATAAATTAGAATAAAATGTCTAAGGAGCACTAACTACTCTAAAGTGTAGATAAAAACGTAAAACTGCTCTAAAGTAAATAAAAACGTAAAACTGACCTAGAATGAAAATAACTCCTATAATAGATCATAACGTGACGTTCTGGGCTGCTTGGCCTAATGATGCTTCCGGCGGTTTTAAATTGAATCACACTATTTCTATTTTTATTTTTTCTTTTCTGCTAAGACTTATTAGACCGTAATAAATTAATAACCATTTGTGACTATGTGACTATTTTATGATTTCCTTTCAACAAGCTTTTTCTTTGGCCATCATCATCAAGTGTCTTAGTTTAATTAGTTTCGTATATCAATCATCTGCGTGTTGTATATGATTACATGTATAACGCTAGCTAGTACATATGTTAATGTTAGCATAAATTAATTGTGATTTCCAATATTTTAAAAATGCATATATAACGGAATAATAGTAACTAATATTTCAGTTTATGTTTTAGATGAAAAATACTCCAAAATATATGATGTAACTCAATTAGAGGAAACAAAAAGATTAAAAACGTAATTAGTACTCATAATTATGTATTTTTATCTTTTCCTTCCCCCACCTCTATTTTCACTGTAATTTTTTTTTAACTCAAGGATATAACCTTTTCTTTTTAGTTTTTAATTATTCATCTTTTATTCTCCTTCTTAAGAGATACCATTTCCAAAAGTCATTATTCATCTTTTCACTGTAATACACGTATACTAATATTTAATCATATTACGTCTAAAAATCTTTCACGGGTTCTTGGTCCAAACATAATAATGCACATATATTAATGTCCACGGTCGTAACGTGTGTATTAGACAGAACTCTTTGTAGGGGGTTTGAACCAGGCTGAAACTACAGATTTGACAAGTCTTGGGTTCACTCTAGGTTCACTACCAGTCCGTTACTTGGGTCTTCCTCTTATGCACCGTAAGTTGCATATCTCTGACTACAGGCCTTTGCTGGTGAAGATATCAGGTCATTTCTCTGCTTGGTCTTCTAAAAAGTTATCCTACGCTGGCCGAGCTGAGTTGATCAATTCAGTTATCTATGGAACTATAAACTTCTGGACTTCCGCCTTTGTTCTGCCTAAAGGTTGCTTGCAACAAATTCAGAGTTTGTGCTCTCGCTTCCTATGGACCGGAAATGTTACTGATCGTGGTGTGGCGAAGATTGCGTGGAGTACAGTCTGCTTACCTAAGCGTGAAGGAGGTCTCGGATTTAGGAATCTGGAAATTTGGAACAAAACTCTTTGTCTGAAGCTCTTATGGAGGTTATATATTCCTAATCCTTCTCTATGGGCTTCGTGGATCAAAAAATACAAGATTGGTGATGAAAGCTTATGGAGTTTAGACGTTGACAAGGCAGGCTCAGGAACATGGAGATCTCTCTTGAACCTGAGACATTTAGCTGCAAACTTCCTTAGAGCAGAGGTTGGAAATGGTGAAAACATATGCTTTTGGTGGGACATTTGGACCCCCTTAGGCCGTCTAATTGACGTTTTTGGTGGCACGGGTCCTCGACAGCTCTCCATTCCTCTGTTCGCTTCTGTTGCTGATTGCTGTGATGAAAATGGATGGCGAATGAGAGGTGCTCGCTCGCCTGCTGCAGAGAATCTCCAAATTTATCTCACTAGCATTCAGCTGCCGTCTCTCTCCCTAACTGATGATGTGTTTTACTGGCTCATTGATGGCGAGTACTTACCACAATACTCTGCCTCGCGCACTTGGGAGGTGATTAGAAACAGAGCTCCTGAAGTTACTTGGGTAAGCAGTATCTGGTTTAAAATGGCAACGCCGCGTCATGCTTTCCTCATGTGGATCGCACAGAATGATAGAATGCCTACTCGAGTAAGGCTTGCAAGCTGGGGCCTTGGGATATCATCGAACTGCTGTCTTTGTGACTCAGCACCGGAAACTCGAGACCATTTACTCTTACGCTGTGAAATAAGTGAACAGGTTTGGGTATTGGTTTTAAGAAGATTGGGATATACTCACTCTTGCTTTATCACTTGGACATCTTTCATTGAGTGGTTATCACTTAATGACTCCACTGCTCCTCTGATACTCAAAAGAATTGTTGCTCATGCAACTATTTACAGTCTCTGGGCGGAACGGAACAAGCGTTTACATGACGGAATCTCGACTTCTCCTCCAACGATTTACAGGCTCATTGATCGCAACATCAGAGATACAATCTTGGGGAAACAAAACAACAAGAAGAGCTTCAAAAACCTTATGCTATCTTGGCTAAGGAATGATTAGAAACTCCTCTTCTTCTATGGGTTACACTTTGTTTTTATTCTTTTTGCCAAAGTGCTCCCCATGTAGTCCTAATTCCTTTTGTAAAGTTTTACAAACTCTTCTCATATTTATATGAAATTCAAATCCTTGGCAAAAAAAAAAAAAAACGTGTGTATTAGAATATTCGTGTATTACATCAATAAAAGGATCTGAACCTAGGGAGAGATATGATACTCACGATAAGCGTAAAAGAAAGTGTGTGAGATATATAAGCTATGGGATACTTTTTGATTAGTCTTCTTGTGATTGTTTTGTCGATTGGAAATGTTATTAAAGAAGCAAATGGTGAAATACCTCGATCAGTTTTGAGCAAGATAGAGTGGATGAACATGAAAGGTCCTTATTTGGGGATTGTAGCTCCAAATAACTTTGAGCTTAATCCTCTTCTCGCTTCTCAAGCCTATGTTCCATATCCCTCTTTGCCTTTCATCGATTTTGCGGGTAATTTTTATAGGAAAATGTTTCTAAAATCTAACTATATATAGCTCCATTGAATCAATACAAAGTCAATTTCCTTCTTGTATATGTTTTTGAGCTATTTATTATTATGCTTGCTTGTACGTACGTAGCTAATTGTTTTTGTTTCCTTGCGTCAAAACTTCAAAATAGGATATCATTAGGGTTTGTTTCGTGTGAATGTCTCTATAATACACATATGTAGATACTAACTAATATGGCTTACAAATCACACAGGTAGAAGATTTCGATTTGGAAAAATATCAAACCAACGGGTGGTGATTGTGATGACGGGATTAGGAATGGTTCGTTCGTTGATCAAATACAACTCTTCCCACCTATATATATATATATATATATATCAAAGAATTTTAATCTTTTAATATAAGATTATATTATAATATATATACATATATATATATATATATATATGAACAGGTTAATGCAGGAGTAGCAACACAATTACTAGTAAGTCTGTTTAGGCTGAAAGGAGTGTTGCATTATGGAATCGCTGGAAACGCAGATGTTAACCTTGAGATTGGTGACGTTACTATTCCTAAATATTGGGCACACTCTGGTCTTTGGAACTGGCAGGTAGGGTTATATCAAAAACATAACTAATAGTTATTTTGATATGTTGGAACTCATATATCATATGCACATGCTTACTAGAATCCATATATAGTTCAACGATCTATATCTATGTCGTAGGGAAAACTGGAAAATCTATTGGACCTGGTTTCAATATATATTATTTGTGGCCTTTAATTTATTTGTTTACATGATATTAAATGTTGAAACTTGCGGTCGTGGGTAGGTAAATCTTTTTGCACATGTTCAAATAACAATTTTCTGCTTCTCAACTAGAATCCATATATCTATGACTCATATCTATGTCGTAGGGAAAACTCGTAAATCTGTTGGACCAGGTTTCAATATATTACTTGTTGCCTTTTAAGTGATATGTTTACATAAATAATACAGGTTGAAACTTATGGTCATAGCTGTTAAGAGACTTATATGAAAAGCTTTTTATATATTAGTTTATCATGGGTTGTTTTGTCATTTTTGCGTTAGTATCATCTGCACATGTTCAAATCTGCAATGAGATATCAATAGTTTGCTTCTCAAGTATCAAAAACTATCACATGTTGATGATTCAACTGGTCATTTTGTTAGACATTTTCGAACTTTATAAACCTAGGTATATATGTTTGTTTTTTGAGAAAATAGGTATGAATAGTTTATTTCTCAATTATATATAACTTAATAAGTATCACATGTTGATGATTCAACTGGTCATTTGTTAAACCTTTTCGAACTTTGTAGACCTATCTAGGTATATATGTTTTTTTTTTTTAAAGTAGGTATCCCACTTTGAAAATTCCCTTACAATACATTTTCTTGGTATCTAAATATAGTTAATACATTTGCAAATTTGATTACAGAGGTATGGAGCTGGGATTGACGATGAACTAGCTTTGGAAGCCCCTGGAGACTATACTCGTGACATTGGTTATCTCCAGTTTTCCAAGTACAGTAACGGAAGTGACAACTTGCTAAATCGAATTTGGTACCAACCGGAAGAAATCTTTCCGGTCACCGGAACTCCGGAAGTTCGGGAACACATCTTCTGGGTTCCCGTTGATAAGTCCTACTTGAATCTTGCACGCCAACTCGAGGTTTGTTTTGCTGACGATACTTATTTTGACACAAGTTGCATTTTTTTTTTTTTTGAAACTGAAATTGCATTTAGTATATTAATTTATCGGAAGATATATACAACACGTTTGTCAGTTAGGTGTTACCTTTTTTTTTTTAATTAACTACAATTTTAAATTTCAACCTTTCATGGACACTACACAACCATTCACCAATCCAACTATATAATTCACAAAATAAATACTAGCATAGTCAAATATAAGTACTACAAGAGCATAGAATAAATAAAATCGAATTGTACGTATTAGTACTACAAGAGCTGATAGAATTATAAATAAAATCGAATTGTACGTATTAGTACTACAAGAGCATAGAATTATAAATAAAATCGAACTGTACGTATTAGTGCTACATTGTTTGTTTTTGCCAAATAGTATTAGTGCTACATATAGTATTCAATGGATTTGTTTGTATTCTTTTGTCCTGGTCAAAGGTTTTTTTTTTTTTTTTTTTTTTTTTTTTTTTTTTTTTTTTTTTTTTTTTTTTTTTTTTTTTTTTTTAAATATATATATATATTAAAACCCGAAAACGGGGATAAGGATCAGATTACAAACCGACTTACACAAAATAACTCTATTCAACTATTTTCTATCTAGCTTCGCTCAACCCATGTCCCCGGCGCGTTCCGCTAGAAAGAAACTAGTATCCTCGAGAATCAAGTACCGTTCTCTACCTTTAACGATAACCACAGGAAGGAGAGATTCACCTCATTTCTTCGGATACCGGGGTCTACCCGTGACGTCTCCGGAGTAGCTAGTACTTGATGAGTTTGTCTAAGCTTGTAATCATAACCATCATTGAAGCCCAAGACGAAAGAGGAGAAAGGGTTGAGAGACACAAACCGAGGTGAATGCTAAAAACCCGACTATACACTCGCCTCCAACGCCTAAGTTACATGGACAGAAGCGCCACCTCTGCCAGCACTGAAAGAAAGACGGGTCTGGGATAGCAGCAGAACTGCAGTCTAAAAGCTCTTCAACCTGCACACAGAAAGAAAAGGAGCAACACCACCAAAGAGATCAAGGATCACGTTGGTGCTGGGATGTGAAAACTCCAAACNCCCGACTATACACTCGCCTCCAACGCCTAAGTTACATGGACAGAAGCGCCACCTCTGCCAGCACTGAAAGAAAGACGGGTCTGGGATAGCAGCAGAACTGCAGTCTAAAAGCTCTTCAACCTGCACACAGAAAGAAAAGGAGCAACACCACCAAAGAGATCAAGGATCACGTTGGTGCTGGGATGTGAAAACTCCAAACCACAGGAGTCGCCGAAAGCACCCGGAGTCGTTGACAACCCGACAAACCGGATGAAATCGCCTCAAGTCCGGCTTTGAGAACCAAAGACCGGTTCTAAGGAGTGACTGTAAGAGCACCTCCTGCGACAAAAGAAGGAGACTACACTGAAGAACGAAGAGCGAAGAACACCTTAGCAGTAGTCGTCACCACCACTAAGAGAAGAAGACCACAGAACTCTGGTAGAGAAAGTAGAAAGCGAAGAGGACTGGAGAAGCATCACACGCCATAGCCATAGACGACTCGCCGTTTCCGAACCTCCAAAAATCCTTCACGCGCTGAACCAAGAAGCAAACATGACCACACAGCCACATCTGACCCTTGCACGCGCCACCGAGTAATGAAATCTCCGATGAAACGCTTCAAGGAGAGGAGGACGACCGCCGAACCGAGACACCCCGAACACGAGCCGCATCGAACACCCTCCACAGCTCTGCTTAAACCGCAAACAAGACTCTTGCTTTCAAGAGAGAGAACAAGGTTAACAAATGAACCACACAACCTCGATTGAAGCAGGACTACAGATCCCCGCCGCAAGCTGCTACCCAGTTACAGATCTAACAGGAGAAAACAGATCTGAGAACACAAACCCTAAAAAGCCGACTCCTTTCCCCTGCCTCACCGGTCAACCTCGCAGAGACTCCAAACCACAACCACCACCACCAGATCTACGACCTCTCAAACGGAGCAGGTGAGACGCCGGCGGAGAACCCTGTCCAGAGCCGCAAACATATCAGAGAACCAGGAGAGAGGGAAAGAGAAGCAAGGAAAAACAAAGGAAAACGAAAAGCCTCCGGCGCCGGCGAAGAAACCGGACACCGGAGCTAAGACGGCGTGAGAAAGGTCGGGACTTGAGAGAGTTGAGAGAGAGAGTTCCTTTTTTTGGTTTTTTTATTTTACTTTCTTTTTCCTGGTCAAAGGTTTGTTATGTTATCAATATAAAGTACGTAAGTACAATTATTACATTAATATGTTATATATATGAAATCACTGTCTTCTGTACGTGGATTGATATGAATATTCAAACAAAAACAGGACACGAAACTAGAACAGTGCGTAAACACAACGTGCCTTCCTAGACCACCGAAGGTAACCATCGTTGACAATGGAGTGAGTGCAAGTGTCTTCGTCGACAACGCTGCTTACCGAACTTTCCTCCGCTCTAAATTTAATGCCACCGCGGTGGAAATGGAAAGCGCCGCCGTTGCTCTAATCTGCCACCAGCAAAGCATCCCTTTCGTAGTCATCCGTGCCCTATCTGATCTCGCCGGTGGCGGCTCCGACATGTCCAATGAGGCCGATATTTTCGGTACCCTCGCCGCGCAAAACTCGGTGGATGTTCTCGTGAAGTTCGTTGGCTTGTTACCTCTATACGGAAGCAAGCTTCAGTCAGAATAATAAGAGTGGATGTGCTTCTTTTTTTTAATAAATGCATGTTGCGTAAACATAAGATGTATTGATTCTGTCTTTTTAATTTCAATAATAAGAGCTGTGTTTTGTTCATTGGTTCAAAACAATTAGAAGCTTTGTTTTATCTATATCGGGGTTTCAAAACAATTAGAAGCTTTAGTTAAAATAAAAACAGTTAGAACTTAGAAGCTTTGTTCAATAATTTAATCTTTTGTTTTTTCGTTAATATAGAAAAAAATATTGAAATTGAGCTTCTTTAGAGTTTAGAATCGATGCAAACCATATAAAGTCATACGCAAAATAAGATTTGTATTCCATTTTTAATGGCCTTGGTATGTATTTTATTTTCATGGTTTTTATATAAGTAATTAGTTTAGTTTTCTTATATTTCATTATGGGCATAAATTATATTTTAATTCACGCAACTTTTATGTTATTATTTTTTTTTCAAACGGGACCACAATTTCCTTTGTTAAATTGGACCACAACTTTTTTCAAAAAAAATCAAGCCCGTAATAAATCAATAATGTAGTCTCTATTTTATGTTTTCCCGCAACAAACTCTATATTTGGTCCTCATAAATATTCTTATTACCGTGTCCTAATTTAATTGGTTTTGTGTAACAATCATGTGATTACATACATACTCCCTCCGTTTCATATTAAGTGTCGTTGTAGAGAATTTTTTGCGTTACAAAATAAGTGTCGTTTTCGGTTTTCAATGCAAAATTTATTAATTTTATTATGTAATTTGTTTTTCTATTGGTTGAAATATGGTTAGGTGTATGGGTAATTGTGTTTTTATATAGGAAATATGTAAAATTAATTATTTTCTTAATCCGTGTGCACAGCTGTAGAGTGACACTTATAATGAAACAGAGGGAGTATAATGAAATTGTTGGGATTGTGAAATTTTATGACCAACTCTTTATTATCTAATTAATACGATATTGTTTATTTTAAGTCTAGTAAATAGATTTATTTTTGTTTTTTTCTTTCTCAAAAAATCTCGTACTAATTAGAATTAGACATTACATATATTGCATATGACATCTAATTTACGTTCCATGCAGACACACACATATATGTATATATATATGAATTACATGAATAGTTTACATACACAGTGACTATTAGGAGTCGATGCAATTTATCCTCTTTTTCTTAGTTAATGTTAGCATAAATTAGTGTTCCAAAAAAAAGAAATGTTAGCATAAATTAATTGTGCTTTTAGGATTATGTTTTAAGTTAATGTTAATATATAATACGAATTAATATATAATATTTTATTATATTTTGGATGAAAAATTACTCCCACAGAAAATATTGGGTGTAACATCAACAATAGTGACATATTACATCAACAATCAGGACACGTGTTAAATTTAACTTTGTAATTTGTAAGAGACATATTACACTGAGCTGGCATTTTTGGTTTTATGCTTATAAAATAGCCCACCTTTCTCAAGTCGAATTCACTCATGTCACGCTCCCATGGTCTTAGAGTGTGACTGGCAAGAGCAACGTAATTTGGAGTAACTTAAAAGGAGACTAAAAAGTTGAACTGAACATCAGTTTTAACCCCATAAAAACTAGGAGAAAATGGAGGTATTCTAGTAGCGCTTGAGGAAATAGAACCAATAAAGTGAATTTGGATTCAAACCTCACTAACCACACGGATATGGGTTATTGCTTTCGACCCATTTGAATGCTTAAGAGAAAGTTTATCTGTAAGATGTACTTCCATCCACAGATTAGGTATGTGTCTTTAATAGATCCGGATTTTAGTCTTTTAGTTTACAAAAAAAACTATCGACAAAAAAAACACAAAGATTTTACTTATGATAAACAGTAACAAAATTAAAAAGAATTGAAAATCTTCACCTGACTAGTAGAATATCATTACCAATGATTTTTCACTATTAGTATCTCACAAATTTCAACCAAAAATTAAGTAAAAAAGTACATTAAATATTGAGCTACTCCGTTAAAAATATCTCATTTGAAATATTTTTAACTGGATATTTCAATATTTAAGATACTCTTCTACTTTATTATGTGTTAGAATTTGTGAGATATTAATAGTAAGAAACCATTGATAACGTTGTTCTTATAGCATTCATATTAGTGAGAGATTACATAAGTCTCTTAACACTATTATTTTTATCATAAAATTTATTTATTTATTTTTATAAAATTAACCAATAAAAAGTAAATATGTGGGACTTGGATCTCTTTACATTGTAATTGAGTCTCTTTATGAGATGCCCATCTCTCATTTATCTTCTCTCTTTTTTTTTTTCCTTGTTTGTTTATTTATGAGAGACTATAGGAGAGACTCCCACGGTTTGTAACCTTAATAATCCAGCTGAACTCAGAATAATGTTATTTATGGTAAAAAATTAATTCTTGCTAAATGTAACTTACAATCACAATTTTTGTTCACTGTTCAGTTCTGATACAGTTAATCATATCTTTTTTATTAGTTTTCAAAATACTAGATGCATAGTCTCCGCGTAAACGCGGGGGTTAGATACGTTGTTGATATGTTGTGTAATTTTTTGTATGAGACTTTGCTGGGTTTTTTTAACATTTGTTTATCTGGCTTATCTATAATGGTGATGAATGAAACATTAGAAGTCACACAACTTGATTAGTCTGATAAAAGAATAAACATCGAATTCATATGGGTTCATATTTTTATATTTGATCTTCGTAGTGATTTTATCGAGCATTCCCTTTATTAGTGAGCATTACTGTTATTAGTGCTTTCATGTAAAAAATAATTTAATGGAGATAAGACAAAAAATGACATGTGTTTATTAGTGTAATTTTCTTTCTGAAATTATGTTGTATATATATATATATATATTTTAATTGTGATGTATATGAGATTTATGGTCGATCTGAATGGTTCGGGGTAAATACTTATTATTGAAAAATATGTTTTTATTTTATTTGATGATTATAACTGAATTGAAATGATATTGGAGGTTAGAACATGATAACCTTTCTTATAAAAGTATCTAAGATGGTCTCATAAAGTTTCAAATCCTTAAGCTATTTTGTATCCCAACAACCAGCATAAAAAATCATTCTGAATCTCCTAAGTTTTTAGGTATCCCGAAAAACTCAAATTCTAAAAAAAAAAAATTACATGCAAGCACTGCGTTTCGAACCCGCACACTCACGGTACCAACTTATTGTAACCAACTTACACCATTGGACCATTTCATCACTCATCGATAACATTCAATCTTAAAAAATGTTATACGTTTTTGTTTTCTCTAATAACACGTGCGGGACCCGCAAACTTGTTGACGTGAACACGCTGAGGAGCTTCAAAAGTGTACTATTATTATTATATAGATTTGTATATCAAATTAATTATGATTTCTTCTAATTTTTCCCCACCCTTCTTATTTATTTGTCAGTTTCAAACTTTGAGTTATTACTAATGTTTATCTAGTTGATCAAAAAATATTTTTGTAAAATTATAATCAATCTATTTCTCACATGTCATCTTTATTTTATGATTGATATACTAAATTTAGATATTATGAAATAGTATACTATATCATATGTTGTACAAATTATATATGTATACATGAACTATACGTATTTTATCAACAGTATTATAATTAAACGATATGTTTGGTGTAGTAGGTTCCAAAATGAGATTAGGCTATGTGGGAAGAAAACCTTAGACTAACAGCCTCACCTTTTGACAAGTACCATGCTAACAGCCTCATGGCTAAGGCAGATGGTTGACCTCATGGCTAAGGAAGGTGATTAAATGGGGGAAACAAAATTATCTTTGTTAATTATTAATCAGAAATGGTATGTTTGAGTTAGAAATTGCGAAAATTTTCTATAGAATTAAGAAGAATTGTGTATGCACTATTATTTATTCTTATTATAAATATATATATATATATATATATGTGTGTGTGTGTGTGTGTTTACATAATATTTTTATAAATTTATCAAAACAGTTCCTTCATTTTATGTATAAATGATTTCATCTAAATTCGCCACAAAATATAACTGAAATATAGAAAACACCTAGATAAAAAAAGTTATTCTTGATTTTTCTTATATGGAGAACCTATCGAATGCAAAGAAGCAAACATAAAGAATGAAAGACTAAAAATAGAGGGCATTTCTCTGCCACATAATATAAGAGGAGAGCAAAATTTCTCTCTATAAATCCAAAAACAAAATCCAGAAATTTTGTCAATCTCTCTTTGCGTTCATATATTAATCTCCACGTTCGTAACGTGTGTTTTGGACTATTAAAGTGTTACATTATCTCCATGTAGATATATAAGGAACCTAAGGGGAGATATGAGACTCAGGAGAAGCATAAAAGAAAGAGTAATTAAGAGAGATAAGTTATGGGACACTTTTTGATTGGTCTCCTTGTGGTTGTTTTGTCTGTTGGTAATGTTATTGAAGAAGCAAATGGTGAAATACCTAGAACAGTTTTGAGCGAAATAGAGTGGATTAATAAGAGAGGTCCTTTTTTGGGGATTGTAGCTCCAAACAACTATGAGCTTAATCCTCTTCTTGATTCCAAAGCCTATGTTCCATATCACAGTTTGCCTTCCATCGAATTCGCAGGTAAAATTTTGTTCTATGTTTGTTTATTAAATTTATATGAACTTAATTCTTTTATTTTCTTCAAAACTGTAAAATATGATACATTTTTTTCAGTCACAAGAGAATTTTTCTTGTCAATGTCTATAATATACAAATGTAGATACTGATCTGGTTTATATGAATTATGTAGGTAGAAAGTTTCGTTTTGGAAGTATATTAAACCACCGGGTGGTAATCGTGATGTCAGGACTAGGAAGGTGCGTTCATTGGTTAAATATCAACTCTTTATACCATATATACCAAAGAACTTTAATCTTTTTACTAATATAAACTTGGATTAAATCATATATACATAAATAAACAGGTAAATGCAGCAGTATCAACACAATTACTAGTGAGCCTGTTTAGGCTAAGAGGAGTGTTGCATTATGGGAGGATTAGGTCTACGTGATTTTGATAGGTGGAATAAAACGCTATGCCTCCGATTGATCTGGTTGCTTTTTGCTAGTGAATCTTCGTTGTGGGCTCAATGGATGAGAAGCAACAGGCTCCAGGAGGGCATTTTCTGGAATATTGAGGTCGATACAGCCAAGTCTTGGACATGGAGATCCCTCCTGCAACTACGTCCACTGGCCTCTCAATTTATCCGAGCTAGAGTGGGTAATGGGAGGAGGATTAGCTTCTGGTGGGATAATTGGTCTCCTCTAGGACCACTAATTGATCGGGTAGGCTTTGATGGCCCTCGCCTTATAGGGATCCCCCTGCTTGCTACTGTCTCCGATGCGTGTGATTCAGTTGGGTGGCTTATGGGAGGAGCAAGGTCTCAGGCTGTGGAAGAACTTCAAATTTTCCTAACAACCGTCCCGTTACCGTCTTTACAACCAAACTCGGACTCTTACTTCTGGCTGGTCAATGATACACATTTCGATAGATTCTCAACTAAGCACACATGGGAAGCTATACGGCAACGCGGTCCTAATCAGCCTTGGTCTTCTCATATCTGGTTCAAAGGTGCAATTCCTAAACACTCTTTTTTGATGTGGCTAGCTCAACTTGACAGGTTACCCACAAGAGTTAGATTGGAGAGTTGGGGACTCAATATCACCACGTCTTGCTGCTTATGTAACACCTTTGCAGAGGACAGAGATCATCTCTTCCTCCGCTGCGAGTGGAGTAGTGATCTCTGGAACTTGTGTCTCGCTCGTTTGGGATATAATTTCTTTGGTTTTCATACGTGGACGGCTTTCACCCACTGGCTAAGCTTGCATGAAGACATCGCACCAACTCTCCTCAAACGTTTGGTTGTTTCTGCTACGGTCTACTCCATTTGGTCCGAGCGAAATAAGCGTCTCCACGATAACATCTCCACGCCTCCTGCCATCACTTTTAAGCTTCTTGATCGTTTAATCCGTGATGCTATTCTGTCCAAGAGGAATCAAAGGCAGAACTGCAGTTTAATGCAACATTGGCTAAGGAATGAGTAATTGTTCCTAAGTTATCTAATCTTATGCTTTACCTTGCTTTTTCTTTTTTTGCCAAGGTAAACCATAAATTGGTTTAAACTTTGTATATTCTTACAAACGCATCCCTTTCTAATGGAAATTCAAATATTTGGCAAAAAAAAAAAAAATTATGGAATCGCTGGAAACGCAGATGTTAATCTTCAGATTGGTGACGTCACTATTCCTAGATATTGGGCCCATTCTGGTCTCTGGAATTGGCAGGTAGGATTTTTTTCTAACCCTAAAACAGAAACAAAGACTTATTACTGATATCAACCAATAATTAATGACACTGAGAACGAAATATGAAAAACAACAGCCGTTATAAATATGTCACCAGTTCCGTTTTCTGTAATCATCAGCCATCCAAATAAATTGGTGATGACATACTAAATAAATTGGTGATGACATACTAAGCCAATGTAGAAAACTCTTCTGAATTGATCAGAATAATGTTTTTTTTCTAACGCATACTATGTTATAATTAATTGTATCAAAAATATAATTCATAATCTTCACAGTTCTTATTGTTAAGTATGTGAATTCATTTCAATGAAATGGCAAGGAGATACAAGAAAACTTGGATCTAAAGCTGCAAGAAGCAAATTCCTATCTAAATGCCTCCCAAAAATATAAAAAAGACACTTAGAGCATGTTTAATGGAGGTTGCTTAGAGAGTTGCTTAGGAGGAGATAAGTGTTTAATTTGAAGAGAGAGAGTTGCTTAAGAGGAGAGAAGTTGCTTAATTAAGCACTTTTCACACTCTCTCTCTTCAAATTAAGCATCCCTCTCCTCCTAAGCAACTCTCTAAGCAACATGCATTAAACATGCTCTTAGATACAACGACCTATATCTATTCCGTAGGGAAGACTACTCGTAAATCTATTTGACCAGGTTTCAGTATATTTACTTGTGGCTCTCTTGTTGACCAAAAAAAGAAATACTTGTGGCTCTTACGATACTTTATCGTGGGTTGGCGTTCATTAACATTGAACATGTTCAAAATATACTACTCCATCTGTTCCGAATTAGTTGTCATTGTAGAAAAAAAAATTTATTTTAAAATAAGTATCGTTTTAGAGTTTTGAAACAAAATTAATTAGTTTTATATAATATTTTATTTTTTATTGATTGAAAAGTTGTTAAGTGTATAGATAATTGTGTTTTTATCATAAAATATGTAAAATTAAATATATTTTTTTAATCTGTGTATAAGAACCTAAAATGACAAATAAAATGAAACGGAAGGAATGTAATATATCAATAACAATTATGTGTCGGTGGTCAAATTAAAGTTACTGGTTATGTTCTGAAACGATTCAAATACTTAGTCCACAATTACAAATTTGATTCAGAGGTATGGAGCTGGGATCGACAACGAACTAGCTTTGGAAGGCGGCGGAGACTATACTCGGGAAATTGGTTATCTGGAGTTTGCCAAGTACACCAACGGAAGCGACAACTTGCTCAACCGAGTTTGGTACCAACCGGAAGAAATCTTTCCGGTCACCGGAACTCCAGAAGTCCGGGAACACGCCTTTTGGGTTCCCGTTGACGAGTACTTCTTGAATATTGCACGCCAACTCGAGGTACGTATGACTAACTCACATATTAGATTCGTTTCGTTAATAAATACTAGTGATTTGTACCCAAGTTGCATTCATTAACAAGTTGCTAATGAAAGAAATATATGGGATAAAAGTTTATTATTATTGAAATCTAAATTATCTAATAATAGAACAGATATCATTCCACTTATTGAGTTATTTCAGATTTTTTATATATGGAATGATTATTTAAATGAATAGTTTTTTTTGTTCTTTCTTAAAATGAACAAATATAGAATAAAATGAAATACCCTTTTCTAGTTTTTTTTTCATTTTAACTAATAAAATTATGTAGAATGAAAAGGAAGTAAACACTTATAAAGATTTTATTTCATAAATATGCATTCCAGTTGCACCATAAATATCATCAAATACTTACAACATATTGTAGTCCGTTAGTTGTTACCTGGATTTCACAAAATTGGATAAAGTTTATTATCACAACATTTCTTGGACACTAAAACTATTTACTAATCCAAGTACATATATAACTCGGAAAATAAAAGAGATATCAAAGATATATAGTATTCCTATAGATTTGTTATATTATTAGTTGTCTTTTAGTCAAAGTTTGTTGTATTCATGTCAATATAAAATTGACGTAAGTTCAATTATTACAATGAAATCATTGTCTTTCGGTATACGTGGAATAATGATACACACATTCAAACAAATACAACAGGACACGGAGCTACCACAGTGCGTGAACACCACGTGCCTCCCTCGACGACCAAAGGTAACCATCGTCGACCATGGAGTGAGTGCTAGCGTCTTCGTCGACAACGCTGCTTACAGAACTTTCCTACGCTCCAAATTCAACGCCACTGCTGTGGAAATGGAAAGCGCAGCCGTTGCTTTAATCTCTCACCAGCAAAGCCTCCCTTTCATCGTTATACGTGCCTTGTCCGATCTCGCTGGCGGCGGCTCCGAGATCTCTAACGAGGCCGACATTTTCGGTAGCCTCGCCGCGGTAAACTCGGTGGATGTTCTTGTGAAGTTCGTTGGTTTGTTGCCTCCATACCGCGGAAGCAAGGTTCAGCGAGAGTAATAAGTGTTGTCGTGTTGATGTGTGTCTATTTTTTAACTAAGAGCATGTAACGTAAAAATAAAAGACTGATTTACATTATAGGGCAGTTTTTGAGTTTAGACAGTTTATGCTCTTAGGGTAGTTTTTCACAACTATAAGCTAACAAGAAGCTACCTACGTTTATTTTTGTAAGTAAATGGGTCCTACAACTTTTAATCTTATTTTCTTTCTCTCTATGTCAAAAAAAATAATTTAATGGCAGAAAAAACTCAAAAACTAAGAGCATCCCCACCAGTGATACTGAGGTGGGGTTTGCCACCTGTATTTTTTTTTTTTTTTTTA